GCCAGTAGACCCGATTCTTGTCCAATTTTACGAAGATCAAGGGAGACCCCTTTCTCAGCCTCGTAATCTTAGTGATTACGAAGTGTGAGAAAGAAAGGGAAATAGTAATTATTATCCGACTTCAAACAGTACTTTTTCTATTGAAAAAATCTTTTCCAAGCCCAAAGTTTGCTGAATTCCTTTCCGTTGCTATTCAAATTCAATGTCACGGAAGAGTGTTTGAAACAATCATGAACCCATGCACGTGAGGCGTTTAACATGCAGACGCGTTCTTTGTTCCCCAAAGAGCTGAAAAGAATTCCTTCGGCTGAATGTTCTGCTGAAAAGCGCAAATTCAATTGCGACAACAGTTACTGTTATCCCAAAACTGCGCTGTGAATACAGTGTCTTTTTTGTATGAGCGGATGATTAGCTGCTTATCCTGTCAACAAAGATGAGTTATTAAAAGTTGTGACGAAGCATCAAAAAAGAAAAGGGCGAAAATTAATGGGCCAATTTTGAGGAATTTACTAATTTTAATTGACATTTGCTTTCCCCAAAATTGCGGAAACTCAAATTTATCCAGTTCCGATAAGGCATCACAAAATTAGTGCCTGCTTATTTGTTCTTCTTCCTCTACCAGTAGTAGCATCGATGAACCTTGATGACCTGCTGATAACACCTGTGTGGCCACCCTTAATTTCGAAAATTTGTTTTCAATGAATCAAGTGTAACATGCCAAAATAACAGCCATAGGATCAGCCGGTCCGAGCTCATGCACCGTTGAATTTAGGCCTGAAATTTAGCCTATTTTCATTTCCAAGAGAGGGCCTTTGAAGCGGTAAACTTCCGGAATAGAGTGCTTTCATTTTTTCCGAAGCGGCGGCGTAAACATCCTGTTTCCTTTTGAATCAGTACTCGCCGAATTAAGAAGTAAGACTACTTCTTAATCCGGTATCTGAGCAATAAAATTGGCGTAATTGGGCAGATCTTGACCGATGAGGGTGTCGATTCACAGGTCTGCTTGTGCCAGAAAACAAGTTGGAAAGAGGCCAGCCAGTGGACAGTCTGACAGGCTCACACATGCCACTCTCTTCTCTGATAATATGGATTGATATCATTTTGCACAATTAGACAGTTACTGTAACTGACATCGTCTGCCAACGAATACGCTGTTCAATTACAACGTCAAATTTGACAAGCCTGTTCTGTAGCGCATTTTCAATGAAGAATAAATAGAGACCGACTGAAATTTTTTCAAAATAAACACCCCCAGATGAATATTTTTCAAATGAACCGACTAGTAGATGCGGTATAAAAAAGAATGACATCATCATTATTATACTCACAATAATTCATTCTGTGTTTGGTATAAATTCTTTATAGCACCTCCAACACAGGCAAAGGACTACTAATTCAGCACTATCCCACTTTTCCACACACACTGTCGTATTCCCCTGTTCTGGGCTCAGCAACCTGTGTTGAAAACCTGAGTCAGAGTCTGAAAGAACTGAAATGAAACCATTAAAATCTATCATAAGTTCTGGCGAAGCCGCGTTGCGGCTTCGTTTCTAAAAAAGCCGCTGCGCGGCTTTTCATAACAGTTCTTTCAGACCCTGACTCAGGTTTTCTACACAGGTTGCCGAGCTCAGCCCCTGTCTGCACTAATTTATGTTATAAGTGTAAGTGTCATTTTCCGGGATGAATTTAATTCTCTTGAACTTTTGCGCCCGTCAAGTTGAAAACTTCAACTCAATTTCGAGACTTTCGACTTGCGAGCACAGCAATTACCGGTAGGGTTTCTTGAAGTTTAAAGTGTCAAGAAACATGATCGACTGAATCGTCTCAATCATCCCTTTTTTACTCATCTATAATCTGAAACATAGACAGGTAGCCGTCTGATTTACGTGTATCTAAAACGAACTTGGTCTCGCAGCCAGCAGAAGAAGAAGAAGATTGGTATAATTATTTAAAATTTGAATTATATAGAGTTTAATTGGAGAAACTCAGCATCAATCTCCATCAATGAGCTCTTCAAGTGGCTCCTTTTTTGATGTTCTAAGACGACTTTTTATGTCTCGTTATTTCTGACCTGGGGATAATTGGATACACAGTATTTTTATGATGGAGGTCATCAATGTTGATAATCGTGAATTTTCTGGCCGATAAAGTTTGACGCCTCTGTCCTCAATTTTCGCATGCGCCCTTGGAGATCCAGCGGGGTGCCCATTTGAATTGGGGTCGAATCTCGCCGATCGTGAGGACTGATAAATGGCATTTTCTGAACCTGACTGACACCCCTTCTGTAGCTTGCTGTGGTGACGGCAGGTGCACGTTGCTAAAATATGCTGGCTCTCCTCTTCGAAGAATAAAGCTCCTGATAATAGGATAGATATTTCAAGAGACCGAGGGGAGCTCTCGAGATAAGAAGAGTTTGTCCCAAGTTAACGGCAGTTTTAAATTGTATTCATTATAATTGTGGCTTCTATAATTAGAGGAACACTCTTTTTTAAATTCGGAAGTCAATCAAGTGATTTATTGCGGAAAAATGGTCGATGTAGGAAACCCATAAAAGTCAATCTTTAATCACTCGCCGGATAACCGGTCAGAGAGCATCAATTTTAGAGAGCTACTACTTGATACGATAATCGTTATTTTAACTTTTTTACTGTTTCTCGCTTTGCATAAAGCTTTCAGTTAAAAAGGTTAAAACATTCTAACCCGCGAAATCTCAATTTCCGTTGCGACCTTGTTCGCATTCGACATGGCCCAGACTGCTGCCCAGTTCAAGATCTGAAGCCGTCAGAAGGAACACGTGTCCCTAAACGCCGCCGCAACATAAAAACGGCGAAAATTAGGCCTTGTGCTCGGCCATCTGGGCCAGGCAGCTCGTGAAATGCGCACTTGTTTGCCATTCCGATTATTTTTCTTCTTCATAATTTCTGTGCTCCCATGTGTCCCCATTTTCCGCGGAACAGAATAGTAGTATTGTCCGTCCAAATACTCAGCTTGATCCTCATCGAGAAGCCTTCCCGGGCAATAAAGACCGCTCAGAGGGGACACGGAAATTTTTAGGGCCCCTCGAAATAGGCCATCGTCAATACTGCTAGCACGATCCGACAAGGAAATAAAACTATTTCCGTGGGCTAATTTTGAAAGTACTTTTACGCTACGGCCATTATCAAAAATAGCCCTGGACATCTCAGAATCCTTCGAACTAGGCTCGGCAACCTGTGTAGAAAACCTGAGTCAGGGTCTGACAGAGCAAATATGAAAAGTCGCGTAGCGGCTTTTAATATAAAGCCGCGAAGCGGCTTCTCCAAACTTACCAGACTAAATTCTAGAGAAGCCTAACTCAGTCCTGACTCAGGTTTTTTACACAGGTTCCCGAGCCCAGCTCCCTAACCCATGAGAAAGTGGAAGGAGCGAAATTGAAGGGGGTTGTGAATATAAGCTAAATCGAAAAAGGATCAAAGCAGAGCGCGATTTTTTAGCAGTTCCCGCTAGATTTGAACGGGATTATCCTCTTTTGAGCTAAAGTGTCTCCTGAAGCGAAAAATAAAGCCCCATTTGATCGACGCACGTGGGAAACTCTAAACCTTGAGCCTTGACAAAACGGCTTTTCAAAAATAACGGAAGAAAGGAAAAAGAAGAAAAATTGAAAAGAGGATCCCCTCAACCCTAATCCGGAAATGGTCGCCTTTTACGCTAGTCACATGTCCGACAGTTCAAGTGATCAGAAAACGCTGCGAAATTTTCAAGTAGGAAGGAAACTTGAAAAGTTTTTTGACAAATTCGAAATTCATTGGCAGTAAAGAATTTTAAGGGTTTTGAATTTTTATGTTTTAATTTCTGAATGAATGGGTTATAAAAAGGGTCAAAGACGGAAAGTCTGCCCCAAACAATGAGCAATATTCCTATGAAATTTAAAATTCACCATTGAATCTTCCTGTTTGTTCTATTTCTATTATGGTATTTTGACGATAAAACTTTTTTATTTAAGTTTTATACTGAAAATAAAGTCGGATAAAAAATACGGCAGGTTCAAATTCGGAGCTTAGGGTTAGGGTTATGGCTAGGATTAGACTTTACTGTCATCTGAAAATTGAATACTCGGGGAATAAGAGACACCCCAGAAGAAAAAGCCCCTTAAAACGGGTACCCCTCTTTTTTATAAAAACAAAATTTTCTTTGTCAAATAAGATACCGTGGTTTTCCATCTTAAGAGCGCCCAACTTAAGAGCGTTTTTGTCAATATTTTCCATACTTTGTCATCTGCAAAAATTCCAATTTTAGAGCGTTTTTGGGTATTTTTAATTAATATTCAGAATAATGTTTATTTCAACTTTAAAAAATCATTAAAAAAGATGTTTTCTAAGCTTCTTTTTAGGTGAAATCATTGACTTTGATTCAAAGATCGTAGATATTTTATCATAAATAGCTAAAAATGACCTCGGATACATTGTTAGAGTTTTGAAAAGAGCTCAATTTATGCATTTTTAGCATCATTTTTTCCCACTGTCATCCTAGTTTGATCGTAAATTTTCCAACATAAGAGCGTTTTGGTCAACCCTTGTCATCCGAAAAACGCTCTAAAGATGGAAAATGACTGTAACTAAATTTGAACAACTAGAACAGTTTTATCAGGTCTATCATTTTGTTAACAAACATCATTAACAACTATGGCCAACATCATGTCACGTTATCAACATGATATAAAAGTTATAACAGGAAAACATAAATCATTATCACAATTCGTCGTCGAGCACTCCTCGCCCGCTCAGCTCCGCTGTGCGCTGAGCAAGTTGCTCGTCAGCGCCCCCTGACAGCCGCGGAGCGCCATTTCCGCGGCGCGCGAATTGCCCAGCGCCGATTCCGAATTTTTTCGTTCACAAAGAGCAAAAAACCACTCGATATTTATTTTTTATCTCTTGAGTCTCTCTTTTTTAATGAAACAGAGTTGAAGAAAAAAACGATAAGAGATTTGAAAGAAAACAGCAAAAGCAGAAGAAGAAGAAAAGATGTACCATCATGATGCGTTGCATCGTTTTCGCGATCACGAAAGTCTCAATCGCGGAAAGCTGGGCCACGCGACGGGATCATTGACGATCTCAGATGACGATTCCGGCTTCGCGCTCGAGGAATATGTTTGGGTTCCCCCTGGGCTGACCCCCAAGCAGGTAATGTCCTCTGGTTTCACTCTGAGTGAACGGAAACCACTTATCGTCGGTTTCGGTTTTGCTATCGCCAAACAAGCTGCTGATTAGCGGTTCTTGCCGTATACCACCGGCCGGCCATTTATTCAGCATTAAGCTAGAACACCACCTTGTCCAAGAACCAGAGTGAAATTTCAAATTTGTAATAATCGACTTATCTAGGCTTAGATTGACATGATCCCTCCCGATTTTTTTTTAAGTCAGTTGACAAAAACCCGCGATAAACAAAATTTGGGCTAAGGGGGCTTAGACGTCTTGCTGGGCAGTGGTATCACGATGCTGTTAAAAAAGATCTTTCTTTTTCTGTTGTTTGAATTACAGTTTCGCGGCGCTACTTACTGTGTGAATGGATCGAGATTTAATCTTTGGAAAATTGTTGTTCAAATATTTGAAATTTGACATTGGGCGTTATTGTCATCGAAATATGAAATATTCACGTTTAATTTTCAGGTCCAAGCGTATTTCTCCCGATTGCCGGAAAACCGCGTTCCATACATCGACTCCGAGGGTGAAAGGTGGCGAACGCAACAGCAGCTCCAGCAGAACCCTCCTCAAGATGGCAAGGTAAGAGATAGTAGATCTCAATCTTTACGACTGAGTACTCGCAACTCGTCGACCAGCTGCGTTTTACTGGAGCCTGACTGATTTTTATCAAAGCCAGACCGGTTATTTTTTTTACTAGAAAAAGACAAACATCCGGTATTCTAGCGCTCTTGGTATCAAGTGACTCGGAAATGCACAGCTTCTTTTCTGTTCAGTGCATTCCTCATACGTGCCCAGCACTCGATAGAATAGGCGTTTTTGTGCCGGTTGCGAGACATGGCTAGTTGGGCACGCACAATGCGAGGAATTCCATAACGGTATTAATTACCTTTCAAGGGACTTGTGTGACTGTGTGCCCTAGATCTCTGCGTGTGCGCGCATCTCGGCATCTGGGCACGCATGCAGAAATATAATCCTCCGGAAAATCCGGGTCGGCATAAAGGGTACCTCTTTGATGCGCCCGCCCAGACTCCATAAAGACCCAAAACATCTTTTGGCCAAGGGTGCACCTGTGGCAGGCAGTTTGAAGGAGATGCGAGTCGGCGGCGGGGATCAAAGAGGCCACGGGCTCGTGTAAAATTTGCACTGTCCTCGATAAGGAAGATTACTGTCTATTTTAGGCACGCTACTGCAACGGCCTCTCCCTTGATGAGGAAAAGGAGCTGGAAATGTTTGCGACTCAGCGGAGTAAACTTAGCTTTGGCAGAGGAATCGTCCGACCGTATCACCATTACTCCGCAACCGCATGTTCAAAGGTGAGTGAGAAAGAGGACCGACACCGCACGTCCTCAACACCGCGTTCTCATCTTCGCGTTCCATTCCAGACCGAGCAATAAAACGCATTCTAGTGCGAAAGCCAGATCAACTACGGCGAACTGATGGTGACCTCCCAGCGCGCGGGACACAGCTATGCCTGGCATCCGGAGTGCTTTTCCTGCCAAACCTGCGACGAACTACTGGTCGATTTACAGTGCTACTTCCACAATGGGCGCATATTTTGTGGACGGCATCACGCTGAGACGATCAAGCCGCGATGCGACGCCTGCGACGAGGTAAATAATAATTGCTTGTTAAAATCGACCATTTCTCGGACAGTGGCTTATCCTGGATTAGGCTCATTATTAAAGTTGTGCTAAATTTTTAACCGGTTTTGACATGATAGCACGTTTACGACGTTGCCTCTTGACTCGGCGTCTTGAGGCACACTTGAGGATGACACGGACAGTCGAAACTGGGCACACTACGCCATACTACGACATCCGTTGGCACATATTTGCGTATTATGTGTATCCTGAATTAAGCTACTACTACTACTGTTTGGCGACGACTGCTTTTTCGTAGAGGCATTCCTAACTATCGCTGATGGTCAATGAGCTCTTTCATAGAACCAAATCTACACTTTATTCATTAGATAGCCCATCTGCGGCAAATATTTGAGAAAAACTATGAGAACCCGTATAAGCATGAATCGGAAACTCGTCCTTCCGGATGACTGGAAGGCATATTTCCTTAAATTTCTCCAGGCACGTAAAAGGACCGGCCAGTTTCCGGCGTATCCACCCCATCTTGACCTTGAGCTGTCAGAATCCAATGTTTTGTATTTGCGCCTGGTTCAACTGGAATTTTCAGATCATCTTCGCAGACGAGTGCACAGAAGCGGAGGGACAGCATTGGCACATGCGGCACTTTAAATGCACAGACTGCGATGTCATTCTTGGCGGACAACGATACATCATGAGGTAAGCGCAGCTTCAGCCCATCTGGAGATTCATCAAACACTTTCAGAGAAAAGAAACCCTTTTGCACTGGATGCTTCGAGCGCAAGTTCGCCGAAGTTTGCGCGAAGTGCAAGGCCACGATCGGCATCGACGAAGGGCAAATGCAGTACAGAGGCGCTCACTGGCATGCTACAGAAAATGTAAGTTCATAAAAACGTGATTTTAATTGCCTAAACAAGATCCTCCAAATCGAATCCGCCGCAAATAACTTTTTATGGACGCATTTAGTTATATTATACGAGATAATTAGGGGGTTAACGATAACTGAAGACTGACCAGACTTTGACGTTGTTGTTTTCAGTGTTTTTCCTGCTGCACTTGCCAAAAATCGCTGCTCGGCCTGCCCTTTATGCCCCGCGACGATGTGATTTTCTGCTCCAAATCGTGCGCTGACAACCTTGGACAAGTAAATTCAACTCTCATGTTGATAAAAATATAACCAAATATCTTCTAGCTAATCGAGGCACAAGTTCCACAATCCCAATTCGCAAGACATTCCCTTCTCATCCAGGACGACGTTCAAGAAAGTCCAAGAAACGCTAGGTAACTGACCATCATTTTAATTAACCAATTTTAAATCATGATTTAGTCACAACTCTACCTTCGAGCATCTCCACGGTGAATCGAAGCCAGATTTCCCACCACCTCCACCTCAAGTTACCAACATTTCAACCCATGACTCCGCAGCGACAAGCAGTATTAAAAGCTCGGACTACACGACAATCATCGACGATTACCTCAACAACTCTCGCAATGGATCTCCTGCATCTAGTGCTCCCACTCCTACCCGACGAAATCGTCCTCCACCTGTTCCTACTATTCCAAAGCCTCTCCTAACTCCTACCCCCGAAATCACGTCAATTCGAGAATCGACGTCTGAAAGAAATGCTATGGTCACGATAGCTGAGCAGATCGAAACGATTGATCTTCGCTCACCCTCTAAAACTCCTGAAAAAGATGCAGTTCCACCTCAACCCACTCCGAGGAAGAAAGTCCGGGGAATCCTCAAAAGCGAGCCCCACTTCAAGACAACTCCTCCGGAAACCCTGACTCAGTTAATTTTTCTCGAGGTCAACCTTTCTCTGCTTCTTGCAGATCTGCTGGTGGACGAAAAGCGCCAAAGACATCTGGATACATGTCCGAAATTGATCCTAAAGCTGAAAAGTGCTCCAAAAAACTGAGAAGAACGAGAAGCACGGATTTGATGAACCGAAAAGACAAACTTTACTTTGAAGACCATGCTGACTGGTGTTCTACGTGTACTTCATCATCTGATGATTCTGATTATGATAGATGGGACGAAGATACATTCACTGCTGGCACTTCTGTTCTAGCAAAGTCAAGACCAAACCCGCAGCGATACACCAAGTCCAGGCAGCTCTCCAGAAGCACGTCTCATGGAGCCAGTTCTTCGCAGAAGAAAAAGAAGCCCATGCGACCCTCCGGCGATTCCTCCAACCCAGTTTCGGAATTTATCTACTTCGATGACCGATACGAAGTCCGCCGTCCTGAATGGATCCTCGGAACGACGATGTACGCCCCCGATCAGCCCCTACAAACATCTACAAAGAAAAAGAAGAAGCACCGAAAACGATGCGTTGTACAGTAACGACTTTGCCCAAAAGCCTTTCCTGCTCGTTTTTTTCCTTCCAGAAAGTGAAACTCCCATCCGCCTGTTCAACAAAAAAAATGTAAAAAAAAGTAACCGAATAATGTTCCAGCAACTTTTATGCCTCTGCAATTTTTTATTTAAAAAAAATGCGATAAACGCGTTGAAGCAATCCTTGTACTATTCTGTAAAAAGTAACAAATAAAAAACTCGAAAACATTAAATTTAACAATTTTTAATTTGAAACCACAAAGGAAATTTACTCACATGAGTTTCTTTTCCGGTCATTTATGTTTTAAATGACGTGACCTTCCGGAATGAATTCGAATGATGTAATTAATTTCGTCGATAAATTATTAACAAGTTGCAGCGTGATCGGAAACCGAGCTAACTGCAGTGTCGCCTCCTCGTCGCATCCGAATACGGTTTCTGTCAGAGTCATGTCCACATCAAGTACCTGTTTTGGCACCTGTCACAAGGTCGTTGTGTCCCGGCGGCATAGTGACCATAGTATTTGCAAAAAAAACCCTTTGCTTGTAAGATGTAATCCGCTCCCTTTTTCATAAGTTTGAAATATTCTGAAAGGTTAAAACTTGACCAAAGGTGAACTTTTTCTTGTTATCTCCAGATGTTTGCAGAAATCGTATCAGTTTGTTTTGTACGAAAAGTAGACTCAACAAAAAACTTTATACGATTTTGGACCATAAAATATTACGGCTCCACCCAATAAGTATTCTGAAAACCTGTTCGAATTTGGACTTGCTTTCATCATTATAGAGAAAATCAAATTTCTTAAAAATGCTTAGCAGTCTTCGACGGAAAGCGACTCAAACAGTCTTGAGGTAAAAAAAAATAACAGAATTTTGACAGAGTAAACGAATTTCTCAGAGCAACAAGCACTCAAAACGTCAACAACTCGCCTGTTTGGGACCGTGGGATAGAACTGAAATAACAGCTTTCATTTGGAGATTATAATTAGTGCCTAAACTGTCGTTTTTTCGTTAGACCAAAGGAATTTTCATCCCAAAATAGGCCTGGAACGAGTGGGACCCGCTCGAGGAGGTTATTGTTGGTCGAGCAGAAAATGCCATTTGCCCTCCCCTAACTCACGAGGTGAAAGCGAACACATACGAATACTGGTGGGACTACTACAATGACAATGCTGGAAAACCTTTTGGTGGCGTCGAGGAACGGTTCAATGATAAAATAATTAGTTTAACGGCCTTCCTTGTTATGTAACTTTATTGATGAAGAGCCGCCAATAAGCACATCAAAAAAGCGATCGCGGAAATGGACGAAGTGTGCAAGATCCTTGAGCTTGAAGGTGTCACCGTCCGACGACCCGAGATCATTGACTGGTCCAAAGACGTGAAGACGCCTCACTTCGAAGCACAAGGAAACCAGTTTAGACTAAACAGATAATGCCCTGACGTATCGGAAACAGAATGTGTCGAACTGGGCGTCAGGACTCTACGCCGCCATGCCAAGGGACATTTTAATGACAATTGGCGACGATATTATCGAGGCTCCGATGGCCTGGAGGTCACGGTAAGTTGCAAAATTCAGCGCACAATGGGGTTCTTTATTCGCGCGCTTTAGATTCTTTGAATACCAAGCGTACCGTCCAATGATCAAAGACTACTTCCGACGAGGTGCAAACTGGACCACTGTGCCAAAACCACACATGTCTGATGAGCTTTACGACCAAAATTATCCAGTAAAATCAGTTCTATTATCAATATTCGCAGCAATTTCAATAGATTAAAAACGTCGAGGATCGGCACAGATTAGCCGAGCAAGGAAAATTCGTGACGACTGAGTACGAGCCGTGCTTCGATGCAGCTGACTTTATCAGAGCTGGAAAGGATGTTTTTGCCCAAAGAAGTCAAGTTACGAATTACATGGGATTGGAGTGGATGAGGCGTCACTTGGCGAAGAAGGGAATCAAGGAAGAGTACAGAACATCATCAAATGATACACTTTTCTATCTTTTTTCGATCTAAGAATTCAATCAAACTATCTATTCATGACTCGCCATAGCTTCATCTCGTGAGCTTCAAGGACCCCAACCCAATGCATATCGATGCAACATTCAACATCATCGGCGAAGGCTTGGTTCTTTCTAACCCCGATCGACCATGCAAACAAGTGGATCTCTTCAAAAAAGCCGGCTGGGACATTGTCAAGCCACCACTTCCGACCATTCCAGACTCGCATCCAGTAATTATCTGCACTCAGGCTTGTTCACTCAGCATTTAGCTTTACATGAGTTCGAAATGGCTTTCAATGAATGTTTTGATGATCCGACCGGATGCAGTACTCGTCGAAAGAGATGAAATTCCAATTCAGAAAATGTTCGAAAGTCTTGGAATCAAATGCATAAAGGTACTGTAAAGAATTTTTCAATACAGTGATTTTCTGACTAGGCATCGATCCGCTACGCCAATTCCCTTGGTGGAGGATTCCATTGTTGGACAACTGATGTTCGCCGAAAAGGTTTGAAACAGACAAAATATCGAAAGAATAAACGATTTGATCAGGTGAACTGAAATCGTATTTCGATGTTGAGTACGACTACCCAGAAGACTTCCTCTTCAACCAACCAGAATGAAAGAACAGAGAAGTCAATGATAGAATATTGTAGCTCAAAATAGACTTTTAACATGTGCAAAGAGACAAAAAACATGAATTTCCAATAATTGTCGTATTTACAGTTGTTTATTTGAATCAAGAAAAGTACTGTTGAGGAGCACCCTGTCCTCGTCCTTTGAACAGAAAAGCGTTTCTCTTCGCCGAGTCGGTATCCATTTGTTTCTCAATTTTGCGCGCAGTGAACACGTACCAAGTTCCGACGCCAATCACTGCCACCAAATCGAAAACGCAAAGTGCGGACTCACTGAACCGATAAATTAGCGTCCTTCAAACTATTTTGCAAACAAAACAGAAAGAATTTGCTTACCTTAAACTTGAATAAAGAAAGGCTGAAAAATAGAAAGCTTTCTTTTGGAACCAAATGGCACTTGTGAGAAGCCAGGTATGCTGAATGCAGATGAAAATGGCCATGATAATGAAGAGCAATCGCAGCGAGAGATCTTCCATCTTTCTGTCGAATTCTTTGCCGCTGCGGAGTCTTCAAGCAAAATTTATTTCCCACTTCAATCTTTACGACTTACTTTTGGACCCTAAAAGTGCCGGATACTCTTTCTCTCAAAGTGCGCAATTTTCGAAAGCGCACCATATCGAACAGCTCCCCTCCGGCCTACCCTTTGTTTTCTCAACCCACGGATATTTTTTTTCCAAAAATGCGAAAAAAATATTGACTCAACCCTTCAAGTTGAGCCCCGGGTGAAGGCTCGCGGCGAACTTGCTCTTGATGATATTGATTTTCCTTTCAATTTTGAAATATCGCTTAGGTTGGGATCAATCGCGGATTATCTCTTTTCGTTTACTTTTCTGATGATTAGGGGTGAATGAGCGTATTCCAAGGACGGGGAGCCTTGGTGAGACCGACAAAGGTTAGGTGAACAGAGGCGGCATGAATTATGAAAAAGGTCTGGGTAATAAAACATCCTCGGACCAGCAAAGCAATTTTACAAATGACTTGCGCAACTCCCCTGAGGATGATCAGGCTTATTTCGATAGTTCAACGAAAAATTTATTGTTTCAAGAGTTTATTCAGTATCCGTAAGATTCGCCAGTGTAAGCCCATTCGGCTCGGGTGGTTGGGTACCACCATTCTGGGTCTTTAACGCAGTTGTCTTCATCACAACATTGTCGGCAGACGGAGTGGCCGTATTCGGGTTCTGGTCGGCATTGTGTGTAATCAGGGTTCTATAAAAACAATCAATCATCGATCTTGTTTTGGGAAACTTACCGCGTTCTGGAAGTTCTGGGCTTGGTTGTTCGAGCAAGCCATCTTTTGCTTGCAACCAGTAATGATGCTTTCGATGTATCTAGCCTGGCCTCGGACGTGGCTTCTTTCTCTGATCTCTAACTCGCATGATTCCTGGTTCGATTGACAGGTTTCTTCGTAGCCGTTGTTGGCGCATTCCTCGAAGCTGGTGGCGTGACATCTCCAGCACTTGAGCCCAGTGGAGGGGTATCCCGTTGGGTTTTTGACTCCTCCATATGGATTCTGCGCGGGGTAGTTGTTGTTGGCGTTGTAGGAAGCGCCGGCGTTGTAGTTGCTTGCTGGTGGTTGCTGATAGTTGTTGCTGTTGTAGTTGTTGCTTGCAGTGTTGTATTGATTGTTGGAAGGGTAGTTGTTCTTAGCAGGCTGGTAGTTATTGTTGGCGTACTGGTCGCTGGCTGGTGCCTGGTAGTTTTGCTCGACATAGCCATTTCCGTTTTCATAGACATCACCTCCGCCAGTGCCAAATGCACCGCCGGTAAGATCGTTGTAAGGGTCAGCAACATAGTTGTTGTTGCTTCCGGCGTTGTAGCCGTTGTTAGCGGGGTACGCGCCTCCATTGCCGTTCAAAGCATTGATCTGCTCCTGGTAGCTTCCCATAAGAGTCTTCGAAGCGTCGGCACCGGGGCCATCACCTTCCTGAGCAGCAGCGAGAACGACGAGGGTAGCGTTGAAGAGCTTCATTTTTGATATTCAAAATTCAAGTTCTTCCTTTTTGTTTTGCAATTGGAACGAAACACAGGCTTTTATATTGCCCGCGCGCGTTAATGCAATTTGAAATTGAGAAAAAGAGCCGAGGTTGTCACGAAATGTCAAGCCTAGCTTCGTTTTATAACATCAGACGGGGCAGAATATACGAAGAAACGCGGGTTTTTTCGCGACTGTTTTGAACTTTTACCGTTCATTCGCAAAAACAAAACCGTATCTAGTAAAATTTCCTCAAAATTATTGACCCTTATTTCACTCAGCTTCCATTTTGCTAAGTCAGAGTCCGAAGTCTTTTTCACACTTCCATGCAACTTTACCATTGCTAGAGCATTTGATAGACGTAGAAGGTATTCTATTTTGAACTCTTTTCTATCGTTTCAGCAAGCCGATTTGGTTGAGATAAATTTGAATAAAAATGAGCCAAGTTATGGGAGCAAAGCCTTGCGAGGATTGCAGTTCCAAAATTGAGAGTTACCAAAAGATTATCGATGTTGAAATGGAAAAACTTATCTCATTTCGAGGACATGGATGCGGCGTAGACTACAAATATGTTCAAGATGTCGAGAAGAAGTACGCGATCAATAAGGAGGAACCATTTAATGAAGAGGAAATGCTGTTGGTCATAAAGCTGATTTTAGTTGGTGCTAAAAAAATTCACTTCACTCTTCAAAATGAGATAGATATTTCTTTCCATGGGATCACGATTAAAACGAAAATGGAAGGGAGAATTGATAGGTAATTATAAGTGTATTTGCTATATTCACGAATATAATTTCAAATAGTCTAATTACGGCATCAATAATTCTTTCTTCCCTTGAAAATCGGAAGCCCGTTGTGTATCTTACCACAAGTGATGATCAACAAAGAGGAGTCTGGGAAAAGGATAATGAAAAATTGAGTTTCATACTGAAAAAGAAGGAGGAGAAGCTTTCTTGGGCAATTCGTCTCCAAGATCAGGATGAAAAACAATGGATGTATTCGAACTATCTAGAGGAAGTGGATGATGCCTGCACGATATGCTTCGAAAATAAAAATAGAATTCGAGAAATGTTTTACAGCGAGATGAAAGAGATGATGAATTCTCGTGGTCAAGGAAGACTATATTTAGGCCTCGGACGTAAAAATCCATCACCATCATCGGAGCATCGTATGGGATTGAGAATAGGCTCATTCGAAAGCTCTTGGAGAGGGCTTTCTTATGAGCAAATGAAAAAATTGGACCCTCTCTCCCAGTTTTGGGTAATCTGCCGTTAAAGATAAAGTCGAAAAACATTTTTACGAAATAACTTGAAACAGGGAGACAGGGTCCAATTTTTTTATTTGCCGTCAAGAAAGTTCTCTTTAAGAGCTTTCGAATGAGCCTACTCGTCCTCATACGAAGCTCCGATGGTGAAAATCGATATTTTTACGTCCGAGGCCTAACTATATTCTCACAAAAATGAACACAATGATGATATTTTTCCCATGCAAGTCTTTGAGTGGAATCCATTTGATGATAATGAATTATTTACCCTGATCAAAGTTATTCGCTTTGGTGCAAAAGGATTCAACTTCACTATTAAAAGTGACACAGAACTCGACCTCGAGTATCAAGGCTTCCGATTGAGAACAGAGTTCAGGAAAGATGTGCCAAAATTCCGTACGTAAGCAACTATCGAAAAGTAAGTGAATGCCAATATTCATTTAGCAATAAAATGGGAATAGAATTGAAATTGGTGATTGAATTTCCGGAAAATGAGAGAAAAAATTTCTTTGGAAGGATGTTGGATCATAAGGAAAAATGTCTCCCCTATGTATCATTCCGTATGTCGAGGAGAAGCTTAACTTATACTGTCTGGTGTAAGAATGATCCTGAAAAGATAACTTGGAGCTGTGATAGATTCGCTACTAGGTAGCTACTGATGATTCCCCTGAGTAATACATGAGATATAAACTGTGTAATTTATTTATTATGTGATTGGCACAGTCGGAATATGATATTCCGAATATCAAAAATCTCATGGCTACACAAGATTATTCGTTCGAATATACCGTATATTATAAACCCAGTCGCAAAGACCTTATCGTTTATCAAAGATACCGTATCAGTGATACTCTTTTATTAACAGTTGGTCATATAAGGATACTTGTGATAAATTTGAGTAATTAAAGCATAGCCGACATTGTCTTCAAGCGAGAACGATACTTCTTTACTTGATATATTCATCTGCAGCTCAAGAAACGCATCTGCATCTCGACTAAAAAGAAGCATACGCCCATGACTATTAATAAGCATATTGTAATCAAAGTCTAAATATTTTCCAGAGAGAATATTATCCAACATTTGACTGCCAAGAAAGATCCAACGGTCTTTTCCTCGGTTAAAAGTGCACGTAAGAAAGAGGATCTTTCAAGAAATTTAACCGTTGCCGAAAGTATATCTGTAAACGATTACCCATCTTTGAAAGTCTGGCTCTCTCCCTGCCACCAAGAAAAAGTTTACGCCAGTGTCGTCAGCAATCGGTACCGCGTCGGTTACATCGGAGAACAAAACTTCGCAATTTTCTTCGTGAGAGAAGATCACTTTGTTTCCCATGCATTTATTGCCCCAGTACGAATACGACCACTCTAAAAACTTCTGTCCCTATATTTGTTATTGGAAGAATTTACCTTTATCCGAGATACTTGAGAGAGAGCTCCATCTTAAATTTATTTCATAGCCAATTTTGGAGACAATATAGATTTTTCCTCTCCAAGAGTACATGTGCGATCTTCCTTCTTGAACAAATTGGCCGAGTCGCGCTCTGAGATAAGATGAACGCCTGTGTATCGATGGATTCAGGAAGAAGCATTGATCGGGAGAATTTTCAGGAGAGCACATGATGATGAGGTTACTAGAATCTTCCTCAAGCCAACCGGATGTAAGTGAGGATCCGTGGGCGAAGTTGAACTTATAAGACATTCTACTAAAATCTGTTTTTTAACTCTCACTCAGCAGTAGATACCCAGCTCTAGGAGGTGGAATTCGAGGAATCATTTCTTGCCCATCGAATTCTACAAATCCTCCTTTAAAGCTAACCAAGTAAAATTTCCCTTCAAAAAGAACACTCGTCATTCGCATGTAATAGTACCAACAATCAAAGCCATATTCTGCCAAGTTATTTTTCTGATCAAGTGTTACTGTCATACAGGAGGTCGTTTCGTTAGATCGGAGATAGAAGTCATGGAGGCAGACCTTCGGCATTTGCTTTCTTCGATATTTCTGAACATCTTGAACAACCTGTAACCCTCTTTTTCCTTGCTTTGTGCACTTGAAATATCGACAAGGGCAGCCGTTTCGACACAACGATGCGAAAGGGCAAATTTTCGATGAAAGCTGCTCGTTTTCATCTGCCATTGCCGCGCACAAAGTGAAGCATTCAAGAGTGTTTCCACAAAGGCCCTCGCATATCTTTCTTCCATAAAAAACTTGCTGATTACAGACTCGAATGTTCATCTCTTGGTCTATTTCTGAGAAGTACTCATCGTTGATTTCTGGTGACATTGGTGAAAGTTTCCTTATTTCGTCGCTTGGAGGAATGAAAAATCCATTTTCTCGACAATGATTGAAAGCAAGAGTGCAAGGATCGTAAGTATGATTCGTTAGGCACGCGCGGTACTGTCGATTACAATCAGAAACAGTAACACGTAGTTTCTCGAGTCCAAAATAATTTGCAATGAGCACGATCGTCATCCAAAATAAAGTCCCGATTCCAACGTATGCCATTCTCTGCTTGAATGTGCCATTCCCGCTTATCATTATTTTAAAAATATAGAATTGGAAATACTATTTTACTGAAGTTTGAGGAAGCTTCTCTTTTCGTATTGTTTATAAACAACTGGAAATTGTGGCACGAGGTAAATTTTTCCCGATCTTCGTATAAGCTTCCCCTTGCAATTGCAATCTAAGCACTTTTTTGTGATCGTTGTATGCTCAATTTATAAATCGGAAAAATAAAATATATCACCATCCTTCGCCTTCATTTTCCTCTGCAAAATATCTATCTGCCTGACTACTCGACTAACACTACTCTTTTTTTAAACTCAAACGTCCGGTAATTCGTCTGCCACCCCTTTCTTTCCTGGTAGAGGAAGTTGAATGCCAACTGACTGGGAACCCATTTATTTCGAACGATTCTGACTAAAATGGTATTTGAAAAGGGCTTCTCTGAACGACTTTTATGAATTAACCTGACTAAGACTCTCATCGTTTCTAGCTGCTTCTAGTAGCCACTTGGATGGGAAGCTGTCATCGCATGAGAAAGTGGGATTCCCGGCGGTACCGATGAATGCCTCCAGATTGGTGGTGCAGCAACCTCAACAGCCCGCGGCGATGGCAAAGGCTTATTTTCCACGTTATCACTAAAAACCGATATTAACGCGAGCGGAAAAACGCGCATCGTTCATTACTGCTGTAGTCTCTTCTTTGCTTCTTTTCTTCATGGGCAATTAGACTCGAGAGAAACCGACATCAAGGAAGAGCAATTTGAAAATGCCCGAGGTGTACTCCCCTGCAAACGATAGAAAATTCGGAAAGGCTCAATCAACTCTCGAAGCTAATCTCTCAAAGCAAAAATGTGCGCTAATGCGTTATTTTGGCCATAATAAGCAAAATTGCTTTGACCGTCAAATTCAATTCTCAGGGAGAATAAAAGTGCCCAGCCTTCAATTTTGAGTGCTACCGCTACTCACATTTGCATATTTGGGCTTAAGCATTTTTGCGGCTTCTTTAGACGTTCATAGTTGGCTAGACAAAGCGGCTTAGAATTTGCATTCTTTTAGATAATAATTTTTGCGAAATTATATAATTATATCGTTCTTCAAAAAATATCTGAAAGACTCTATTCTTAGACATTCTTTCCTCCAAAAAGTTTATTGCAAAAACATTCAAGAACAATTATGCCCTCAAAATTATTGTTATTCTACCACAGTGCCCTGGCAGCGATACATGTTTGATTAAAAATATTGCGGTCTTGACTCTTGAGAGAGAAATAAATGATGGAGCCTCAATAGTAATTGTACTTATTCTGACGATTGCTGCGATAATCCTGTTTGCAATTCAACTTGAAAGTTTACCCAAGTTAGACCTGAAACAGAAGATAGAGGATGGATTCGAGGGATTCAAGTTTGAGGTAAGAACTGAAGCTTGGAAAAGCTCTTCGCGGTTTCTTGGATTTTCGATGAAGTTAAACTTTGCTCAGAACATTTTGCTTGCTTGAGAATAAATCTCGCTGAAATTTCAGCCGCCAAAAATGCGAAAAAAATTCAATAAGTTATTCTTTTCCTTTCAGATTTTTGCTACGGCTGCCAACGCTACTGAGCCAATAGAAAATTCACCATAAGGTGAAAGCACAACGCTGAAAATACTTCACACTCAACTGTACATCTACATATCACTCAAATCAACCTTTTCCTGCGTTACTATTTAAAAGAAAGAATGACCAATATACAGATTAAATTATATATTGTGTGCACAGAGATTATACGGGCTTGGGAAAATGAACGGAATAACAGAAGAGATTTCAGTCAGGCCTTTTTCTCGAAAACGACGCGCTCGCTTATTTAGGATCATAAAATTGTCAGACTTAATTCCTTTCAAATCCAATTTATTCTTTGATTCCTTTCCTGTTTTGAAGACCAACAGCAACAGGTCGATGTTCCACAGTCTTGACAGTTCCTTGCGAAATCATCATCGCTAAATCAGAGACAGTTAGAGACGCAAGAAAAACGGCCTTTACCTCCGATAAGACCAAAGGAGATCCAGGAGCAGGTCAGGACAACACGTTGTGCTCTCTTTGAAAGTGGTTTGAAGTGGTTTCCAAGGTTGATTTTGTGAAAGTAGAACACCATGGGTGCTTGGTTTTTTCTGATTTCTCGACTGATGAAAGATTATTGAGAAAACATCACATGTAAGACGATGTTCTAGAGACATTCTACAGATTAAATTTTCTTTTTGTTTCTAAGCCCTAAAATGGCTGTATAAACGTATAATGACTGTTAATTGATGAATGCATATTTTGAGTTGAACAGATTTTCAACCCCAAATCAACCCGCTCGCTTGGAACGTCTGCCTAGCCCGCCCTAGAGGGATAAAGCCGAAAATTATCGCATGGGTTATTTCGCAAAATCGAGTTTTACCGTCAGAGAGAATGAAATTATGATCTCCGCAAATTATTCAAACTTGGCAACTCCACTAAAATCCGTCAAATTCTTCCTGCTCAGCTTTTTTCGAAGAAGGCGGCTTTATACGCGCATTTTCGTCTTTATCTGCGTTGTTTTCTTAATTCATCAATGTAAGCCTTCGAAAAATTTTGCAACCAAGAAATTCTAAATTTAGTTAATCAATCTTACCGGCCACTCGCACCCTCTCGCGGCATCAGAGACAAGAAATATGTGAAGAAATCCGTGAGGAGCAGAAACGTTAAGTTGCCACGACCGGATTCAAGGAAGGGGACTTTCCATAGCGGCTTGTGATCAGCAGAACTCGGAAGAACGGAAATAAATCCTTTGATTAGCGCCAAGCCTTCACTCGTAGCACCTTCTTCAATTTCCACAGAACCAGTAGTACCCGTAGCTGTTTCACAAAAATTAAACACGCCCACGACCGACACGACCAGAACATCTACTTCAGAACAGTTGGAAAATCACATCAACGATTTGATAGAAGAATCTCTGGTTGTTTCCAAAGTAGGTCGAATTCGGGTTAATATTTGCTTACAAATATTTAGGCGAAATTTTCGGAAGTTGTTGAAAGCTCGAAAGAGATCTTTGAAACGAGAAAGAAAGAAGAAAATAAAATTATAGAAGAAATTATTCAGTCAATGCCGTTATCTCATAAATCTTCAACATCGCGAAATTCCGTCACTGCAGCAATGAAGGAAGTAAAGATGAAACTTCCACTTCCAAAGCGGTCAAGAAGTGGGACGACCATTTTGCCGAGAGCTACAGATGCTCCCAGAACAACTGCTACTTCAAGAAAAACGACGAATACTTTAACGACTTCCAAGTCTACCACAAAATTTGAGCCACTTGATTTGGACGATCTTATCGACAATGAATTCTATCATTCTCTGCCGGACGATGTTGGGCTCTTCCTCAAAAATCCAAAGTGAGCTTTGGCAAAGTATTGGAGATTCTTTATCATTTTTAAGAGAAAACATGGACGAGAATCTTCTCAAAACGGAGCTGGAAAGAATCAGCAGCTCATCAAACGAGGATGAAATTCTTGAAGAAGTGATGGCAGAATATTCAAATGGAGACGAGATTCCAAACGTGATGCATTACGTTTCTTTCGGATGCAGGTCATTCAAGCCTTACAATTTTCTTTCGTGGATATCTACCCTACTGACTCGTAATTTGCAAAATTTTTCTTCAGAAAACAAAAAATTTCTTTCAGAAAAACCGGAGATCATCATTCTTCATACAGATTGCCCGCCAGAAGATTCGCTCTGGACGAAGTTCGAAGAAATAGCAGGTTCAAAGCTGAAGTTAGTACCAAGATCGCCACCGGAAAAAGTCTGGGGAAAAACGCTAACTTCAGTGGAGCATAAATCCGACGTTGCTCGTTTACACATTCTGTTAAAATTTGGCGGCATCTATCTCGATGATGATGTTTTGATTCTCAAGTCTTTGGACGATCTTAGATCCGAAGAAGTTGTCCTCGGGGAAGAAAACTACGATGCTTTAGGTAAAGAGCGCATGAAAAATCGTTTCTTTTTATCTTTAGCGAACTCAATCATTTTGGCAAAGAAGGACACGTGGTTCATGAAGCGGTGGTTTTGGGAGTATCGATATTACGATCAAACGTGGTCAAGTCAATCCTGCTTCGCTCCTTGGTCCATTTGGCATCTTTTTCCCCAGACTGTTCACATAGGTAAACCTCCATCACTTGATAATTGGAAATATCCGTTCAGTAAAAAATACACTTCTTCGCCCAAACTGGGAAGAAATCGCACTCATTTACAAAAAGCGCTGGAACTGGCGACACAACTATTCAATTCATCTTTTCGCCCGCTTCATTCCTTATTTGGACGATCCCGACCGGCCGCTCGATGAAATCCGAAAACTGGACTCAACATATGGAGAAATTGCAGATTTTATTCTTTCAAAGCTTGAACTAACTACCTCATATAATAAATTTCAAGACTAAACCATGTCTTCATAGTTGTCGTATCCCTGGTTGTTGAAGTCGTCTACGTCAAGGATGACATCATCTTAATAGAAATAAAACTAGAGATTTGTGAATTTTAGTGATGTGGTTCATCCCTTGTCTTCATAAGAGTTATGTCTTTGCGCCTCCATACGATCTTCATTGATCATATAGTCCATTTCAAATGCAAGAGCTTCTGAACCACATCAGTTTAATTACTTTACGGCGCTCACCTTCAATCTCCAGATCAATCGCCTCCATCGTGTCCAAGTCGTACTTGTGGACCTCATTCAACGCCTCAATTTCGTTCAAAAGGAGTGCTTCAATTAATTTGTCTGTCAGGGAAAGTAACGAAAAATAATTACCTTCTTCGTTATCTTGCTCTTGATCGTGCTCGTCTCCATCGTCGCCCATGTCATCGTCGATGTCATCGAAAAGCTCCATCGCGACTTCTTGGTCCTGATTGTCCCGATCGTTTCGCTGGGCATCTAAATCGCAAATATCTCGAAATAGCCATTTTTTAAAAATTACCTGATCCCGCGATGGATCCTCCACCATCGTCTTCCCCTTGTTCTTCACCGTTCATTTCGTACATCAGATTTTCATCTAATGTACTCATTATTAGAAATGAGAAAAGGAAATCATGAACCTTTGGAATCTTCGGAAGTGTCAGACTCATCATCGTCAAACTTTGTCAAACTAACATTTGAAAACCTTCTTGTTGATGATATTTTCGCAGGAAATGAAACTCGTCTGTTGCTATCTTTTCGTACTTTTGGTGGGCCAGAAAGTCCGATTATCATGAGAGGAATCGAGAGTTGGCCGATGAGCGTCTGTCCCACGAATCTGTTGACATTGAACGGGGGTTTCGCCACATAGAAAGGATTAGTAAAGATAGCGATGAAAATATTTGTTTTTTTCTTTCTCCTTCTGTTAATTTTTACTTCGGAAACAGGTGCTTTTTTGATCTCTGAGAATTGTATACTAGACGGTGATTGCCATTTTTCCTTGAGTAACAATGCGTCTTTTACAGTACAATCCACGTCCATTTCATATCTCACTTTAGTAAAAACTGCGTACCTGCGTCCTTTAGCAATATTATATTTGCGCGAATATCAATTAACCTCTTTTCTCTTGCGAAGGACAATTGCGATGGATAATTAATACTTCAACAATATTACCGCTAGTTTCGGTATGCATGCGTTCTAGGATTGACAGCTCAAGAAAAGCCAAAAGGCCCATTTCAGGCTTTTGTCAAATGGAAAAATTGATAAAATAGTTTATTCGTTTACGAACAGAGACCGCAGTCATAAATTACTACCCATACATTATTCAGGTATTGGCACACAAAACTAGGTAAAAATGCAACAAGCAGATATTTTCAGGTGATGAACTTGTCTTTATAAATAGTCGCATGGTAAGAAAATGGCTAGAAATGAGTGGCTTGGAGAGAAGTTTAAGATCGATTATAGAGAGTTTCGCACCATACTAGTTTCTCCTCAGAGAAAGAATGGTCTTTATCTGAGGTGGAGCATCATCGATCCGGGTTCTTCGAGATACTGCTTCAGTTTGTTAGAGAAGCGCGCCATCTGAGCGCCTTCGATAATTCTGTGATCAGCGGTCCAGGAAATGTATGTCAGGTGTCGGGCAACAACTTCGTCGTTGGGGCCGAATCGTGGAAGTCTTTGGATCTTTCCTGAAAAAGAAAATTAACGCCCTGCCATTCCGGGGGCTGCAACATACCGATAGCGCCAATAGCGACCTGAGGAACAAGAATAACGGGCTTAGCGTAAGTGCCACCGATAGCACCAATATTGGACAAGGAGAAAGTTCCACCCTGGATGTCAGCCGGCTTCAACTTGTTTTCTAAAGAAATGTTGAAAGGGTTGGCCAGAATGTCTATTTTTACCAAGGCCAGCTTGATGAAGACGGTTGAGCTCTTGGGCTACTTCTAAGATAGAGAGATTTTGGACTTGTTTGATGTTAGGAACGAGGAGGCCGTGAGGAGTGTCTGTTGCGAATCCGATGTTGTGGTCTTCGTGGTAAATAATTTGAGTTCCGTCGGGCGAGAGCGACGAGTTCAGAATCGGACTTTCCGACAGGGCAAGAGAAACAGCCTGAAAGCAGCATTAGAAACGGATTTAAAGCTTGCGCTTTGGATTACTTTGATAATAAATGGCATGTAGCTAAGTTTGATTCCGTATTCAGCGGCGAGGGGCTTGAGAATTTTTCGCAGCTCGACGAGATTCGTGACGTCGTATTCTTCGTTGTAGCCAAAGTGGGGGATCTTCAGTGCTTCGGTCATTGATTTCTGCATGGCCTTGGCGATGGGGCCGAGTGGCTCAGTTCGAGAACCGCCTGAAGTGGCAGCTTGGGCGCGCACGGGCATTTCTATGGATATTTTTTAGAGAATTGTTTCTGATGACGAGTTTACGTTTAATTGGTTTGGGGGCTGGAGGAGCAGATCCTTGAGCAACTTGGACTGCTGGTGGAACTGGAGCAGCAACAGGAGCTGGTCCTGCCATGAATGCTTCGACATCGTCTCTCGTGATAGTTCCTCCTTTGCCAGTGGGAGTGACGAGGCTGAGATCAACTTGGTTGTCTTTCGCGAACTTTCGAACAGCTGGTGAAGCTTTAACCTTGTCGCCCGCTTTGTGAGATTTTTCTTCTGATTTGGTCACTACCGCGTCTATATTTTATACTAAAATGATTGTCTTTTTCTGTTAGTTACCATCAGTAGCGGCAGATTCAGTGTGGTCGACGTAGTTGTCAACTGGCTCGTCGTCATCATCGCCTTCAATTTCAATGTCGACGAGGGGGTCACCAACCTGAGCGACGTCATCGATCTCGTAATGAATTTTCACAATTTTACCAGCGTATCGGGACGTTATGTCGACATTGGCCTTGTCCGACTGGACTTCGACGAGCTCATCGAACTCCTCGACAACCTGGCCGACTTTGACGTACCATTCTAGAGGCCAGTTTTAGTTCAACAGTTCAAGATCAAAGTTCAAAAGACGAGTAATGCTGAATAACACGAAAATACGCCAAAACTGGGCGTGACATTCTCGCCCGTGGAATTTTCCCAAGACGAAGGAAGAAGTTCTACCTTTGACAACGACTTCTTTGGTGCCTTCTCCGATATCAGAAAGCGCGAATTGGATCACTTTCGGTGCGCTGGAGGTGGTTGCCAAAGATCTTCTCAGAAGAACCTGCTGGTTAACCCGTGGCGACGCAACTGACAAGACTCGAGCCACTTTTCGAAGCCGAGCAAATCGCGATAACATTCTATTCGCATTTCTATTGATAATTTGGTCGAAATATGGTTTCATTACAGACTGTAATTTACAGTAATATTTGTATTATCAGCGAGATATGTTTTAATCTTTACAGAGAAAAAATCTACAGTAATTCAAATTTGGATTCATTTTATAAAACAAGAAATATATAGTCAACTTAGAACCAGTTAATCATAACATAAAATGGACTGTATGTTCCGAAGGGTACATTTCCGCTTCTCTCCGTCGATGTCGTCTTTGCATTCTTATTTCTATATTTTTGAAGAGGAAGAAATTGTGAAGAAAGAAATGTTTTAATTCATCGTTGGATCCTTTCGTTTTCTTTCGATTTCTTGACTTCTGGCTGTTTGTGGGCGACTGGGGCGAGCTGGCGTGGCCAATGGCTGCGCAATTTTCCCGCGCCAGCGATGAATTTGCGCTTTGAAAAGAAAAAGCGGCCGCTCAAGAGAGTTCATTTACGAAGAAACCCGAATATTATCGGCGACCAGATTCTCATTCTTCCTCTTTTCCAAATTCTCTTTGTCCCTTCCTTCACCTTTGCCTACGCATTTATCGACGCGTGGGCGCCGATTTTGAAAGTGCGTAGGTTGCGGGTTAAAAGTGTTTTTTATTCAGACAAGGTCGACTTCGGACGGATCCAGATTCTCCTCCAATCCTTTGTCTCGAATTGAACTACAGTACTGACATGATTCGTGGAAGGGGTCGAGGACGGGGGAGAATACCAGTGGAAAGGGACGAACCAAGCTCAGACTCTGCTCTTGGCTATTCTTCCTCTGGAGGTTCGTTTTTTGCTGCTTTTTGCTTGCATAACTCGTAAATTGCTCGTTGCGTAATCATCACTCCCAGTTTGAACTTTTTCTTCGATTGAAAATTCAATATTTTTTTAATAAGAATGAACTTTAACTTCTTTTATAAAAAGTTCAATTGAAGATTCACTTTTCAGCTTCCCGTGGTATTGGCCGAGGACGTGGAGGAAATCGTGCTTTTGGAGAATCAGTCTCAGACATAATTTTAAGACGAAGGAATGAAACGAATCAAGTGAATTCAGGTCAATCCGGCCAGATTCGAAATACCGGTGTTCGAAGCATTCGAGGACGCGGACGAGGATTCCCCACGAATAATCTGGGAATCGATTATGCTCATTCTCTCCCAGATGCAACTCGAAATCGAGGAAAGTCCTTTGATAGCGAAAATATTCGGCCAGCGGCTCAACAGTACGATGATCCGGAAGAGCCAAAGAGCATCGAATTGTCGCAAATTCGGCAATATCATCATCGACAGCCACAAAGTGGAGATCAGGGAATCAAGCCTTCTGCTGAAAAGGCTTGGCCTGACATGTGGCATGGCGATTCCACTGGCAAAGAAGGTAAACAAACTTCGTTATCGTCCATTTACAGTTCAATTAGGTCAGCCGCAAATTGGCGTCTCTCCGTTCTCTGAAAGTGGCCGATTTGTGATCACGGGCGAATCGAAGATAGTCACTCACAAAAAGAAAAAACGCTACCAGTTCGGTGGAGTAACGCGCGTCGCAGACGTAAGCGCTCAAGACTCTCATCAGACCATTGCCAGATCTTTGCAAGTTCAAGCGCCGCCAAAACCAATTCCTCATTACATCTTCACGGACTTCGTCGAAAACAGCAGAAACACGAATCAATTGTTGAACGAGTTCTGTCAGTTCCAGCGAAAGTCGTTGAAATTCCTCGATGTGGCGGCGAAAGAGAGCTACAAAAATTACTCAATCATGGCGAGTGTGGACGGCTTCGATTACGCCCCGGCTGAGGCGTGGAAGAAAAAGATTGCCAAAGAAGCTGCTTCTCGAAATGCTCTGAAACGATTGCTAATCGAGTACTACGGGGACATGGGTGATTTACCGAAAGTAGAGCAGCTGAAAAATATGAAAGAAGGAGACGAGAAAATCTCTCGAGACCAGGATCATCCAACGCGTTATCGCCCCATGCCGAGAATTGGAATGAACGAGCTTGGATTGGGCTTGATTACGTTGTACCCTGAGCCGCACGAAGGAGGACATGGCGACACCGAGTCAAATCTGATCATCGGCAGCATCTGGGAGAAAATGGCCGAGTTGAGGATTGATAGAGATGGCTTCAAAGACGACATCGTCGCAGTCGTTCTTCGTTGGAGTGGAGTTTTCGCCGCTCGTGATCCACTGGTTGTTTCGATCGCGACAGGAAGCCGAATGAAAGAAGCGACTGATTTCAAAGAAGAGCATCGTGATCTTGCTGGCAAATGGGGCCGAGTGCTCCAGGACACGTCTCCTTGGTCACTGGCGCGGCGAGGTTTGAAGCGATATCTTCTCCACGAAGCGAGCAAGTTTTACACGCTTCAGTATGAAAACAAGTTTGATGAATACTTCTCAATTTTTGAGATTCCTGCAAATAACAGCTCCAGTCAAGTTTTGGCTCTCAAAGAAGGGATCGAATTAGTTTATTTTGCGACAAGTAAGTCTATCAGTCTCACCAGTGAAAAACCCCTTGTTCAGGTGTTCCAGAAATGCGAGATGAAAATACGCGACTTGACCAGAGACCCGCTTCTTTCATCAATCGCAGCGGGGACAAACTTCTCCGATCTTTGGTGCTCGGTCTGCAAGGATCTCTTGCTGCTCGTCTGATGGAGCCCATCTATCCAAGTCGAATTCTTATCGGCGAAAGACCAGGCTCGACTCGTTCTGCTGACGATGCTTATTATTTGGATATGTACATCAAGGTTTGTCAAGTTGTTCTTTTCTTGTAAATATAAATTTTAGGAACATCTACCCGACGAGATGGCAGCAGAATCTCATGAACTTCCCGGCGTTTATCACGTCTTCCGTCCGTCTATTTACCCTGTTCAATTGAACGAAAAGTTCCCCAAGCCGAATCCAAAGGCTCGTGCTTTGAACTGGGTCCATCTTGTACCCTTGCACCAAGAAAACAAGAAGACTTCACGAGAATTCATCGATCAAGCGAGCGGTTACACTATCTTTAGAAGGATCGGAGAAGAACGAGATAGACGAGGGACCTCGCGGCTTAGCAAATTCGCCCTGTGGAAGCTTTACTTGGAGAGTATAAATATCCGACGAATGAAAATCCAGGATCAGGACAACAGTCAGAGAATCAGCAAATACCACGCGAAGGATCATCGATTGGTAACTTCTATTTCAAGTTTTTTTACTAACAGCATTTGCAGACAAAAGAACTGATCACCGATGCCTGGATTGAGATGGGCTTCGGCGAGTGGCCATGCGATCCAGCCGTCTATGAGTTGGATGTGGAGCAACCGCGACCTGGCAGAGACATTTTGCTCTGCGATGTATATTTCCGCTAGATTAAAACCGAAAATAGAGGGGATCGTTCACTACCAACAGTGCCTACCAAAATGCACCAGAAACTTCAATTTATTAACTGCCTCACTCCTTACACACTGAAAACAGATACTGTAGTTAAAAACTACCTTTAAAATTTTAAGATTTCAGTCTTGTTATTATTTTATTCAGATTAAAATGACTCGAAAATGAAAATCGAATCGGTTGTGTCCGAGATACTGCAAATCCTTCCTGATAAAAATGCTGGAACGCACCGTTTGCTCTTTTGCTCGCTGTACAAAGTTGCCAAAGATGAGCCGAAAGTTGTAGTGCGCTACATTCTTGATGAGCTGGATAAGTTTTCTGTTGTTCAGCACGATGGTGAGTTGATTCTTTTTTGTTTGAAACTTATTTTGTTCAAGTGATTTTCGACTTATTCGCGAAGTTGATCCAGGACGATGAAAACTGCGTCTCCAATGGTCAGGCAGAAGAAATGATTCCCCTAGCCACTGCGGCTTTGTCCCAATCTAGGTTGAACTTGATTGGATCTCTTTGTGGAAAATATGCGTCTGAAATCGTCGATCATCTTTTATCGCAGAGTTGTGACCATACAATGGCTTATTTATCCCGTGTCGCTGAAGAGTGTGACCTCGCTGTTGATTTGATTTTCCGACTGCTTACTGGTTCGCAATCTTACATCGTCAATTCTGAGGAGATTCCAGACAGAATTAATTGTTGCCGATTTATCTCCAAAATCATGCAAAACATGATGGAAAAGAAAGGCGAAGAAAACCTGATCGAGCAGGCTGTCTTTGACAATTTACTCGCTTGTTTGTTACAGTGGCATGGTCTGAAAAACAACGACTCGTTGTTGCGCGATAAATCATTAGAGGCTGCTACTCTTCTTTGTTTCTCGATGCCGTGGGGGCGCGCAGACTGTCTTACAACACTGAAAACGTTGTACAGCCCTTATTTGAAAGACCGCAAGTCTGAGATCAACATCATTTACTCCTACCATCTTTTACTGTCGTTATTTATCAACAAGTCGCCACGACTCATATCAGAAAATATCGATCAAACAATGGCTGATCTTTTTCGAATTGTCAACCCAACAGCTCTACAACAAAGCGATGTTTATCGATGCTGGGGATGTCTGGTCCAAGAGTTCCCCACTCAAATCCTTCAGTTTCTGCTGAAAAAGCTCGACAGTATGCCTTCCATGGCGATTGTAAAAGTAAAAGCACTCAGAGTGATTCAGTACTTGATCAATTACGAAAAACCGTACATCCAGAACAAGACGGAAGAAATCATCAAAGCGCTTATTCCAATCCAGTCGAATACGAACTCTCATTGTAGACTTCATCTTCTTCACGTGACACAGGCTTTATTGAACAACCAAATGCTAGATTCTAAAAACGCGTCCTCTGGTCGACAGCTTGTTGAATTTATCGTTCGTATGGCTGCTTTGAGAAAAAATCATCCGGATCCAGATTTGAAAAAGCTCCGCATCGCTGCAGAAAATATCTTTCAATTGTCCTCGTCGTCGTCAAATGAGACCAGAGCATTTCTTTGGCCACTACTTCTTACGTTTCTTACAATGCCTGCTTATCACGGAGCGGCGAGTAGTATCGCAAAAGCGCTGGAAATGATTGCCAATCGACAGGTAGCAGAATCGCTGCCGTTGGAGTTTCCTTCCAAACCAGCTCACGCCGTCTTATTCGTCCGTTGTTTGTTATTCCTGTCGAATCCGAAAGAAACTGAACCCGGAGCGCTGTTGTCCTTTCTTCAATATTTATCCAAATCAATTAACGCCGAAGTTGATGCAATATTCCGCGTTGTTCTCCCGCGCCTCGATGCTTACTTGTCGGCAAATTTATACAACTCCAGCTGGAATGTAGACGAGTGGCATCAGCTTTTACTGAAGCTTGTTACGAGATCCCTGTCGATTCATGATTCGGGATCGTTTCTGTCTGGAGTTAGAAGTGAAATTTCGAAAACTCTAGTTTGCCCCCAAAGCGTCAGATCTCGACCGTTTTTGCTCCAATGTTCTGCTGCCGCGTTGAGGTAAAAAATAAGCGAACTAAGTCGGTCTCACAGGTTATTATAGCGCCACGCCGAACACGAAGTTTATCTTGAACGGAATCGATGAATTAATGAATATTTCCATCCATCAAAATCCATTTGAAAGAGACGCTTGCGCAAAAGCGATTCGCCTTCTTGCGAATTCCAAGCATTTCGACTCTGTTGTGGATAGATTTCTAAAGTCGAGTCAGGGAAAAGTGATGAAGACGGAAACCAAAATCACGAAAATCATCTTCGGAAGCGGCGATTCTCAGCGAGAACATGTAAAATCAACTGTTTTCTCCGCGCTAACCCACATTTTCAACACTATGATTGAAAAGGAAACATATTCTGTCTTCATCCAGGTTAGATATTATTCTATGTTATCCGGTTTTATCGGTTATTAGTGCACTCAGTTCTTGTTGGAAGCTGGAGAGTGTTCATCACTAGAAACATGGCTAGAGTTTTGGCAGGCGGTTTCTGCTTGCTCGAAAGTGTCAGCAGCATCTGGGAAGACTTTCCTTGGGCGAAATACTGTCATCGATATTTGTTGCAAGAGAATATTGCCGAAGGAAGAGTTTTCCTCAATCCACCCTGAAGTTATCTCTTCGCTTTCGAATTTGATCCTTTCTCAGGTAAATTTTGATTCTCAGTCCACCTCTCATTCGCGATTTAGCCTGCTGTTCAAGCTGGGGAAGCGATAGATCTTCTCAGGTTTTCACTCTCCGTTCCAAAGTCATCAGAATTTCCCTCGTGCTATCTTGAAGCGTTGACTTCTCATTTTGATTCGACGCTCAAACTTTCACCCTCCCCGGATAATTGCTTCAATCTACTCATGCTTGTCAAGTCATGGCTACTAGATGAGCGTATAAAAGCTCGTCAAAGTGCTATTCATATCTGGCTATCGATACTCGTCAAATTTTTGGATTACGTTAATGCTCCTGTTGATGAGCATTCGTCTTCCGTAAAACCGGGGGACATGCATCACTTTCAATCCCTTCTACCCGTCGCCTGCATTCGCTGCATCGACTCAGACCTCGTCACCCGTCGAACCGCACTAGAAGTAGTCATCATCCTAATCGACCTCTACTACGCTCGATCTAACGACACTATGCCAACCGAACTACGCGAAAAAATGACACGAGCAAACCGCAAGATTTTGACAACAGAAACAGGTATTTATTGCGGATAGATGTTGGTCACAGCGGGAGGCAGCGGGTGAAAAGACTCGAGATCAGGATGAGAACGCAGAGTATGAGCAAACAGCGGAGGAGGGATGTCCAATTTTCGAGGTCCGGGTTTGTCTTGGGCTGGATGATCTGAATTCTTTCCACTTGTTCCGCCAGTGCCTCGGTAAATCTCTGTTCTGCGGATTTTCCGGATCCCATGGGGCAACTGGGATCCTTATCTTCTTTTTTTGGCGGCTCCTTGGGCGACTGCCTGAATAAAATAATGTTAGTTTCATATTTTCATGTTTATTATCTCACCATTTGTAAACCCCATATGCGAGAACAGCTCCGGCAAGTGAAAACACAATGAGTTTGATCTTCTCGCCAGTCAAATTCATCGGGCTCCTTTCGAGTTGAAACATTGAAACAAAACTGCTTGTGCTAAATACAAATTGATATGAACTGAGCTCGAGTCTGATTTTTGCCAACAACAACGACCCTGTTCTAGAGAAAATATGCAATTTTGCAATGCAATTTTTTTCTTAGAAAGCATGTTTGCTGGAGCAAAGGATCTCGGTCAAATCTACTGCGAGCTAATTCGAGGAAAATCGGAATCTTTCATCAGTGGCCTTCTTGATTCCATTTCTGACCCAGATGAGCAAGCTGCTAATGGAGCTGTTTTATTCCTGACTCTTCTGGCGGAGGAATATCCGATCCAAGATGTCAAGCCGCTTATGAGAACACTCATCGGAAAGCTCCGGAGCTTACCAAACTCACATGTCAAGTCCCGCGCCGGTATTTTGTCTATTTTCGCTATTATTGGCGCTCAAAGCCCTGATGACGTTGTCGACGAGCTTATTAGTGGCGACACGACTTTTTGCGATGTCAACTCCTTGCATACTCACATTTGGCGTTATCTCGCGCCAAAGCCATTTATCGGGGAACAGTTTTGGAAAATACTCCGGGAGAAGCTCTGTTTCGGCGAGATTTTCAACGATTCGACGACTCTTTACAATGGTCGGCGCCCATCCAAGATCAAAATAGTCGAACTTGACTTTCTTGGAGCGCTTTGTGCATCGCTTGAAGTTATTCCTAGGCTTTCAGCAGAAATTATCAAAGACGATCTTTCTCAACATCTATCTCGTCTTATTGGCCGTTGGGCGATGCTCATAGACGCAAGCTTTCCTCTTACTCAATTTGGATCGTCAAAAGCAGCGACGACCACACCGTCAATAATAATGGCCAATCTTCTCAAAGTCATCTTCCAGAAGATTCACTTACTCTCTGCTTCTAAGAAAGCGAGAGAACTTCCAAATACAAACACTGAGGATCGAATCACGACGCAACTCGTCTGCAAAGGTCTCAAGTCTGTTATCAACGCAATAGCAGCTGATGACATGAAGTTCTTGTGCGAACTAACGCAAGAGCAAATGAAGTTGCTCGACGATTCCAGCTCATGGGAAGCAGATCTTGCGACGATATCGATATTGAGTGACACAATGGTCATTCTCAGCCAGAGTCTCAAGTCATCAAATGATCAAAAGGAAGCTGACACACTTTTATCAATCATGAAGAAGCTCTCAACAATCTGTGGATGCTCAACAACAATGACGACAGTGCGGTTCATTGCAATAAATGGCCTTGGTAACCTCTTCCTGCCGCCTGAAATTCGTTGCCTGGTTGATGTGGATGACGTTTTCAAATCTTTACTTGAGCTGTTCTTGTCCATCCTTCGTGGAAGTCAGGAGGATATGATTTTGTCTGAAGCATTTCATGGAATCACAAAAGTCGTTCGAAACTCTGTCAAGCCGCCCATGAGTTCTTTTCGGAAGCCAATCTTTCAAATGGCTACCACTTTCTTTCAAAAAGCCAATCCGGCTACAAGAAGATCAGCTGTAGAAGTCATCACTGTCCTGAGTGTGAATTTCCGCGACGATGAAGACAAGGAAGACTTTGTCGAGGAGCTCCATCGGAATTTACTCGATGTGCTCATTTGCCTAGCTGACAACGATAAAGACGTCAAACACGCTGCACAAGATGTGTTGCTGTCTATCGCGCCACTGATGGTCGACGAGTGTGAGCAACTTATACAGAAACATGCTAAAAGGTACGCTTTTATCGAAAAAAGGCAAAGTCTATTTCAAGTTCAGTGACAATCTGCACACGGGCGAGTTCACGGCTGAGTTCTGTTGTCGCTACGTGAAAAACTATTCCGTCGAGCAAAGTATCGCCATGATTTCGACCGCTAAGGAGCGCCTCTCGTCTCCTTGCGGAACCGTGCGCGGACAAGCAACAACTATCGTCGGTGCTTTGACCAAAGATTTCCCCGAAAGTCCAAAACTCGCTCCGCTGGCGGCCGAGTTGCTACCCATCTTTGTGCAGATGCTGCACGACGAGTGTCCGGACGCACGCGCCAGGCTAGGTTCAACAAAATCGCCCGAAACCAAGATCGGGTTTTATCGGGTTTTTTAGGAGGTCGGGTTTTGTTGGATCGGGCTTTGTTGGATTTTATCGGGTTTTTGTCGGGTCCGAAATCGGGTTTTTATCGGGTTTTTTGTCGGATTTTTGTCGGGTTTCCTACAAGCAAAAATTAAAAAAATCAAGTCAAAAGAAGGTCAATAACTTATCTTGAGCAGATTTTTTCAACAATTTTCGAGGATCATTAATAATATAATTTAGAATGTGCATTTTCCCACTGTGCAATAATATTAGTAATACGGTAGAATATAGAATAAATAATCCAAACCCTCTTTATATGTTTAGAAAGCTTGGACCTTGCTGAGTTGCAGTTTAGGGGGTTAGGCCTTGCCGAGGTCACATGACTTTAAATAACCCATGGGGTTGAAAATAGTGGGAGTCAACCTAAAAGACTGTTCTGCTAAGGCCTTCAAGCTCAGGCGTTCTCTGACACTGTTTTTTTTATGTTTCCGACGTCATTTTCGACCCCCTGTAAAAAAGGGATGAGTATATCCTGAGATTCTCTTAACCCCTCTACGCCACAGAATAGACCTTCAGCTCTTATTTGAGCCCCTTTGAGACGCTGTACGATGATTGTACTCCGAGAACATAGACTCCCAATATGAGGTTAAAATTGGCGAAATCGGGTATTTCCGGGTTGATGACGTCATTTGTCAAAGATCACGTGACATTGACATTTGCTCAGTATCCCTACGCTACAGATCAGACCCTAAGCTACATTTTGGTACCCTGGGGGACTATTTGCGACTTCTCTGGTCGGAGAACATAGACTCCCCAGTTGTCGGAAACATAAAAAACAGTGTCTCTGAAATTCTGCCCTCGAAATGGATCGCTGATTGCCAGGGACCTCGCTGAATTTCATTCTCTCAATCGCCAGAAGATTATCTTTGGTAAGATTAATGTAAATGTCCTCTAGAGCTCGTTCTCTGCCTTTCCCCGGTAACCGGGGCCCGGTTTTGGAGGCAGTTCTCATCTATTTCGAGTGCTTTTTGAGTAAATAAGGGCAAGGGAGGCTATTTAGACCGACTGTGATTGACTGAAAAGGCAAGAAAAACCCGACGAAATTCCGACAAAATCCGACAAAAACCCGATCCTACGTCGGGTTTTTGAAATTTTCAGGATCGGGTTTTGTAGGGTGAAAAAAACCCGACAAAACCCGATAAATATCCGATCCGATATCGGGTTTTCCGGGCATCGGATTTCGATTTGTTGAACCTAGGCGCCAGGGCTGGAGAAGCGCTTTCATTTATTTATCGTTTCTGAGTCTCAACAGCCACGTATTCATTCATTCTCTATTCACTTTCAAAGTTATCATTTACTATCTTATTTCTTCATCTGCACTATTTCCGACGCGTTTCAAGCCCATCAACTTTACGGACAAATCAACGAGTAAAACTGAAAGTTTTCATGCAAACTTAAACATCATCGATCCTTCCATTTCAGATGTCGGCGGGTTACAATTCGGGCCTATCAGAATATCCGAACAAGGGAAAACTGAATCTGAAAGAGGCCGAAGATGCTCTTGAAGAAATTGAAAAGAAAATCGACGAGCTAGTCGAACTGATAATGGAGTCGAAAAGAACGGTTGTTCATACTGGCGCCGGAATTTCCACGAGCTGTGGGATCCCTGATTTTCGCGGTCCTAAGGTAGTGGTCAATATTTATTGTTGGCTAAACATAAGCGCATCATTGTTGATCACGGTAATTGGGAATGTGGACAAGAGAAGCAAAAGGCGAAAAAGTGGAGGAGGGCATAGAATGGTCGAATGCGAGACCGTCGAAAACGCACATGGCTCTCGTCGAACTGGAAAAACGAGGACATGTCCAATGGCTCGTCTCCCAAAATGTCGATGGGCTTCATGCACGCTCAGGATTTCCTCTCAACAGATTCGCAGAGCTTCATGGTAAAAAACTCAATTCAATAAGTTTACCTTACTTTTTCAGGAAATGTATTCGCTATCCACTGCCCGAGCTGCAAGTACAGAGAGATTCAAGACAACCCCGTCGAATTTATTGGACAAAAACCTATCGGAAGAATTTGTGGTCAAATAAATTCGCGCGGATCTACCTGTCGTCGACAGTTAGGTATTCCTTGCTTCTTTTGTAATCCCCCATTTACAACATTTTCATAGTCGATTCTGTTCTTGACTGGGAGCACGACCTTCCAGAGCCCTTCTTCTCAGACTCATGGGCGCAATCTGAAGCGGCAGATCTCTCTATCGTACTTGGATCATCGCTACAAATTCAGCCGGCGAATACATTACCCACGCTTTCCAGAAAGATGGTGATCATTAACTTGTCGAATACAAAAATGGACAGAAAGGCGCACCTAATCATCAAGTCCAAATGCGATTTCGCCATAGAAATACTCATGCAAAAGCTGAAAATAGGTTTGCTTGCGTTTTCTTACCCAGAATCTAAAGAAATTCAGACATTCCGGAATGGACAGGACCTACGATCGTAAAAGAATCTTCCCTCAAACTAGAACCACTGCCGATCAAAGAAGCGAAGCCAAAAACAACTCGTCGAAAAAGAAAAACTAAAAGTGAACAAGACCCGGACTATACTTCTCATTCTGTACCTAAAGCACCCAAAAACGAAATTCCTGAAAATGAACTATGATTTAGTTACTACAGCTCTTTTTATTCAAATGTTTCAGATGCAAAACTTGAGGGGTAAATGCCTCCTCAGTTGTGCCTTTCGAAATCGTGCTGTTTCAAGAAATTTGTCCTTGACATCCGTTTATCTTGACGAAGATAAGGATACAAAGCTTGTGCCTGGATCTATCAAGCAGTTTGTCCGCGTTTTCGGCCACAAGACTGAGAAACACGCGACTAGGAATGGGAACTTGATATTAGATCATAGAAGGCGGCTGAGGAGAGCTATCAAATCTATGATTTTCACTCCTTTTTACGCTGGTAATTTTGAGACTCATCAATTTTAGTGGTCAAACTTTACTTCAGTGCCACTATTATTCGATGAAATTAGTATACCAATGCTGGGTGCGATAGATGCAGTCAGCCCTTGTTTTATGCTTGCAGCTTGGCAACTGTACAGTTTTGCTCTGCTGAAAGATTACAAAGCTCAATATCCTCTAGGTATTCCAAGATTTGCTGTGAGCTTTCTTTTACTTTCAGTTCAGTTCACAAAGTTTTATTCAATCCCTACGATGGCGGAGTTGCTCTAATGCGCGAGCAGTGGGCTCACGCCGCTAATCCACTGAAAAATCGAAGACCAAAGTTAGAATTATTTTATATTCCTCACGAAGAGAGTCACATGTATAAAGCTGTTGGCACGACTCTTCCCGAAGGTTGCGTTATTCAAGATGTTGATGAAAAGGTGAAAGATGGTACAAACGTTAGCTCGCATCATGGTAAAGAAAGCATGATTTAGAATCACATTTGAATCAATACGGCTTCAGGTTTTATTCATTCTGATGTAATATTAAACGAGATTGCGTTCGACAATTACACTGACGAACTTCTTGCATCGAGGCTTATGAACGATATGATCGATTTGCGATTCCAAAAAGACTCTATTCTTAGACTACCAGATATTTCTTTTGGCAAGAATGCCGAGGTAAGATCCATTGTACGCTAGCTTTCCACTCAATTTAATTTCAGTATGTCGAGCGTGATCAAGTATCGGAACGATTCCAAGAAGCTCGAAAGCGTCGTGATGCATTCGCTGATCGAATGATGCATCCTTCTCAAGCTGACCAAGCCAAATGACCTCTCAAAACAATCCTCTGCCTTCGATCTCTTTTCTCAGAAGCAAATAGTTCATTCAGAAAGTTCGTGTCGCGAAAGCATGGTTCGCTGTGGACAGTTGACTTCGAAGGAATGTCTCCGTTTTATCTTTACGAAAATGGATCGAGTTCCGCGCGTTTACAACGATGCAGTACTCGCCAAGCTCGATGTACTTGCTGATGAGCTAGAGCGCTTTTCCACTGCTGGGGCGATAGCATTTTGGTCAAATATTGTCCATAGTAAACCCTGTCAAAAGGTACTCATAAACAACGATTTTCTCCTAGCTAGATCAATAAGTGTTTAGTCTCGTGCGCTGAGAACCTACCGAGGCTATATGAGATGAAATTCATCGTGGACGAATATAGGGAGTCTATCAAGAAGCTCTCAATCGTGTTGCGAAACATCTTCATGCGGGTCGTTTCTCAGAAGGAAATCGAAGATACAGCTAGCCTAGATTTGAGGTAGTATTTTCTGAAGTTAAAACAGTAAGGAGACAATTTTTCAGCTCGTTCCTGGATCTTTACGTGATATCAGATCTTGCCAGCAACTTTGGCCACATTCCATCGTTCAAAAAGGGGCTCACAATTCTCGTCAGTCGGACGAAAAATCTTCCTGCTAAAATATACGACTACGAAGTTATGGCCAGTTCCGCTCTGAATGATGTGATCGAGAGATTTGAAGTTGTGGACAAGCTCAATACCAAAGGATTAGTAGACCTGTACTCATCTGGACTCGATATTATCTGCAGCTTGCATTCGTTATCAATAGCTGATCCAAGGATAGCAGAACTCTTGGCGGAGCCATTCGACGACCCAGAATCCAAAAAGAGCGATTTCTCTTGGTGAAAATCGCCGAACTCTTCGAGCTTATAACCAAACATGTATCGAACAAACTCGAAGAAGTGTTTAACTATCAAGTGTACAGCATACTTTTCTCCCTGAAATTCACCCAGACCGTCTTTACTAGCCGCTTTCTCAAAGAAAAAATATACGAAGAAGACGCTGAAGTTTTCCTGCTTCTTTGCCACGCTTTGCTAAGCCACAAAGTCTTCCTCTGTGATTTGAAAGAATATTTGAGCTTGTTGGACATCATGCTAAAGATGAAGTCGGCATTTCCTAAAACTGTGAAAGATGATCAAGTCAAGTGGTTCATGGAAGATGCCAAAGAAGCTTCAAAAGCGCCAAAAGTGAAAATGAGTGCAGAAGCAAGTCAGATTCGAGAGATCTACCCTGATCTCGGATCTGAGTTTATCTCGAAGCTGCTCGCCTACTACAAAAATAACGTACAAGAAGTGATGATTGCTCTTCTCGAAGAAAACCTCCCACCGCAATTGGCAAGTCTTGACCGAACAGCCGAAACGAAGGTCGAACCTGAGAAGCCAAAACTAGTCATCCCCGGACTTTACCACAAAAAGGCAAAGACGAAGCGAGTGGATCACGCGAAGGAGGAAGAGGAGCGACAATACATTCGAAAGATTGCAATGAACTATCAGTACACTGAAGATGTGGAAATTGTTGAAGTTGCAGAAGACGAGACTGGCGCTAAATATCAAACGTCGAGTAAGTCCTTTTCGTTCTTTAGCTATTCAGCAAGTTTACTCTCTTTCAAGAGGAATACGGCGACGAGTATGACGACACATACGATGACGCGATTGAACTTGGGGAGAAAGTCGAGTATGACGTCGTCAAGCCGGCGGATCTCGCAATCGACTCTGATCTTCAAAAGAACTCCAACCACCAGAATCTCATCAAACGAAAAGCGAAAGGGCGAGTACAAGACGAGGCTGAAAGCAACTCATCTGACTCCCGGTATGAGTTTTCACGGTTTGCGATTCTAGATGAAAAGTTTAGACCACAATCGAGATCGGATCGGGTCTCAGCTCCTGTCAGCGCAAGCGCTTACTACAAACAAGTTTGGCAAGAAAAGCACAAGAACGAGAAAGAGCCTGGTGGCCCTCCCCCACCAAAGGGAAAGCTAACGGAGGATGCTACTGATTTGCAGAAGCGGCAAAAGGACGTCAACAAAGGTAACTTTAGTTGGCTTCGACAGGCTGTTTGAACTTTCAACTCAGCGCGTGTCGGAAATCACAACCGAAAAAAGATGGCAATGAAGAAGCAAAGTAGAGGGATGACTTCAAACGAATAGCATAGAAACTAATTCCTAACTACAAATAGGACCCTCCATTAATTTCAATACTGAAACATTCAATTTGAAAGTTACTTGCTTTACTTCAAAGCAATACTGATAACATATTGGACGTGCGTACCCATAACTGTTGGCTTTTCAGAATGGCGAGACGGTCCTTGCGGGCGCGTAAGCCCGCGCAGGACGAGCCTTCTGATAGACGCTCAGCTCAAAAACGAAGAAATGCCGAAGCAGAAACTGCCGGCACGCCCAGGCAGAAGGTAATAAAACTGGTCCATTACAAGCCTAAAATTTTATCATAGAAAAAGAAATCGGAGAAAGATTCATCATCTGAGAGAAGAGGAAAGCCTGGAAGACCATCTCGGGGAAAGAAAGAGACGCCGCCTGCAACTCCAACTTCAACAAAAGGACGAGGATCAGGGAGAAAAGGGCGAGGACCAGCGAAGAAACGTACGGACAGATTCCAGATGGTGCTGGAAGACGACTACGATAAAGATTATATTGACTACGAGTCGCCCGAAGAAGAGATCCAAGAGGCCGAGGAGGAAGATGTCCTGGACATGGATACGAATCAAGAGGACGATGAGACGCCAGAAGAAGAGACAAATATCGATATAACGTCGGATTCAGATTCCGAGACTGAAGCGGGGCACAGCTCAAGATGTCCCTCTGAAATCGACGAAATGTCAATGGAACCTCTCGATATCTGGCGGGATAATTCTCGTCACTTTCCAGAGCTTGAGCTTCCCGAGTCGTCGCTTGATCTTCTTATCCCTCCGAGTCAGCTCTTATTAGATGCTTTGGAGGCTTACGAAACACTACGGCACTTTAGCCAGGCGCTGAAGCTCACTGTGTCGAAATTTGAGTGCTTCTTAACGGCACTCGTGCATAAAGAACATAACGCAATGATTTCACACACATTTCTTGCCCTTCTGAAAACGCTGTATAAATCGGATGATCGCAGTGGAATCGCATATGGTCCAGCTGACTCACGTGACGGGGCGTATTCTCTGTATGCATTTACCGATCTCCTCACGTGGCCATATTCACTCAAAGTCTACGCAGCATCTGATCCGGTACATTTTGGCGACTTGGACTTGGATAAGATCAATAATCTGCCTTTTGAATCGACTGCTGTCAAAGTACAAGTGCTCAAAGCGTTGTTATCAGCAGTTCTTGACAGTGATATCATTCGAAACTTCATTGAAAAGGGCAGAACTGATCATACTGGAGAGGAGACATGTCGGAGCTGTCAAACTAAGGGACAACTCGTTCTTTGTGATAGGTGCCCGGCGGGATACCACCCTCACTGCGCAAATATAAAGGATACTGATAAAATTGATCAGATTTCGTTCGAATGCACCGTTTGCCTTCAAAACAAAATCAATCTTGTTCATGACTGCATTCCTGAAGCAGAAGAAGAAGACCCCAAGTATTTGAGACACGTGATCCTGGGTTATGACAGACATGGGAGAAAGTACTGGTATCTTGTGAGAAGACTGTGGGTGGAAGATTCAAAAGAGAACAAGTGCTGGTATTATTCGACACCCCATCAATTTGACGAATTGATCAACGCGCTGGACGCGGCTGATTACGAATCGTCGCTCGTAAAGAAACTGGAAGAGATGAAACAAGAAATAACGGGCAATATGGAGAAGACTATCACAGCTACGAAAAATGTGAGTCTAACGACTGCCATTCGTCAAGTGAAACCTCAAGCTTACTTCGATTTCATCAGCCCTTCATCCGATGGAGTTTTAGCCCAACCAACCTGCAAATTCGCTCCAGGAACACCAACAAACGAAGAGTTCCCAGAACATGCAAAGATCGAAACGACCTTCAGACTCGGTCTTGAAAGACTGGTGTACCAAAATTTTTACTACGAAAATCGTCAAGCAATGAACAAGCGGGAGCTCAAAGAGATCAAAGATTTCGAAGGGAAGCTCTACGCGATGGAGTATGCTGGCAATTGGGATCGGCAAAAATTCGTGCGCCCTGAAAATATCAACAGAATTCTTTGGAGCAGCAACAAAGTTGCTGGTATCGGTGTAATGGAGAGACTCATCAGAGAAATTGTGGATACGATGCGGAAGCTTTCGGAAGGATTCTCAAAGTGGTATTTTCATCCAGACTGGATGCAAAAGCGTATGGACTGGAGACAGAAACTTAACCAATGTAGAGACATAAAAGAGATCGCCAGACTATTAGAGGTGTTTGAAGCACATTTACGTCCTTGTATGAAGCGTACAATCTGGTTTGACTGCGTCGGACAAACTTCGCTTACTCGAATCTCCACTAAAGAAGACCAAAAAGGCTCTGAAGCGAGAAAACAACGGGACAAGAAGTTAAAGCTCGAGGAAATCAAGGCAGAGGAAGAGCGAACTGCATACCGTGAGACTTTGTACAATCCCTACGTTCACTACAACAGGAATAAAGAGTCGATCTTGACGAATCGGATGACGAAGCTGTCTATGGTAAAAGGTGAAGAGTACAGATATGACAGAGGATTCTGTGGATGGTACTGGAGATCGAAAACTTACCGTTCGACTCATAAAAAGCCCAAAAGCGAGTCAGTGAGTTCAGACTCAATATCAGAAAAGAAAGACCTCAAAGTCGACAAGCTCTTGGAACTGAGGGAGCATATGGAAGAGGTTGCAGAGGCAGAGAAAAAGGCAAAAGAGGAAGCGGAGAAAAAAGCGAAAGAAGAAGCTGACATCAAGGAAGAAGAGAAAAAACAGACGGAAAAAGACATGGATGATATTCTGAGTTCTGTGCTCGAGACTGCCGCAGCTGAAAGCGAAAAATTGTCAGAAAAGGCGACCCCAAGAAAGGTTGAAAACGGGGAAGAAATCAAACAAGAGCCCGAAGACAAACCTGATATCAAACCATCAGAGCCAGAGGAAGCAACAGCTCAACCAGTGAAACTGAAAAAGCGGGTCATCACTCAAATTCCCGAGCTGACCTCAATCAGCGTGAAAAAGTTTACCTCTCGCGGAGTCTTCAGTTTATTCCGATACTCGTACGGTGTTAAACACATGGCGAGAACTGGTGGCTGTGTTCCCTGCGCAAAAGGCTTCAACTACAACGCTAAGGTAGTTTATTAATTTTTATAAAGGATTATCCTTTTTCTTCAGTCGCACCGTTCAAATGAAGTGTGGCCGTATCCAGCTCCCAAGCCGGCTTATCATATCATTTGGAAGTACCGCCTTGCCGAGTGTGACGACATCTACACCTTAGCTCATCTGTTATCTATATTTATTCGAATGCTAAAGTGGGACCTTGTCGTCGAACGACCGCCTTTTGTTGACGGCGATAAATTGACTTGGACGGATACCTCGGAGGATGAAAATATCACTTACGAAATCAAGGTAAAGTCGCTCAAACTTGCTCCTTTAACATTTCCTATCAAAGAACAAACGTTACTTGGCTGGATCCGCTCGACTCCGAATGGAGTACGAAGTCAAGCAAACTATCCTCCCCGCTGATTCCGAGGAAATCATTCCCACCCGAGATCAAAGAGCCGTGGAAGCAATGGCAAGATCTGGACGACGTCTTAGGCAATTGAAAAATACAGATGATTATTCAAGGTACATAAATTCAGCGATTAAATTTATAAGAAAAAAATTCTTTTCGCGTCATGATCTCTTCATCCACGATAATTGTTTGATTCTTTTCAAGCTTGACGGTATTTGTTCAGAAACGAACCCTCGGAGACAGTTGCTTGGATCAACGAAGAACGCATGAAAATTTGGCAAATCGAGCTCTACCATCGAGTCACGGAAGAAAACGGAGGAAACGCATCGAGAAGTGCCACATATGAGCGTGGTGGATCTCTTCGCGATCGTTCTTCCATTCGACCGCGTGAGGTGCTCGATCCTTCACCGGATTACACTCCAGAAAAGAACATTCCGACTCGAGCTCGTCCTCACTCTGACAATTCTTACAAAGAGCAAACTATGTCGGTAAGTACCAGAGTATTATCAAAAGATTTTTTATGCTGACCCATCGTAAACAATAAAAATTACTCGCATAATTGTAGAACAGCATCCTGGACTCTCGAAACAAATTCTTGCCTTCCCGCCCAGCCCGAATCATCCGCCCTCCAGACCAAATCTCAAAACAGGACAGTTGCCTATAATTTCAAATTTGAAACTCATTCGCGCCCAAAACAAGAACATTTCTGACTGCCTGTTACGTAATAACTTTTCGAAGATCAGGAGACTTGTCCACGCTATTTTCAACGTCAAAAGCTACTGAGAGCTTTGATAGTTAAACTTTTTCAAACCTGATAGAGACAGTCGAGCTTCAACGATGGATATTCTTGATGAGCTCTTTCAGGTGAAATTTGCGTCCCTTGTGCGCCATCAAGGGATACTTTATGCGCATTTAATGGCCGAGCATCATATTTATGTTTAAAATACGAACTAATGTGTGCGTTGTATTGATTTTTTAAAGCGATTTTCTTCAGCTCGAGTCAGATTTCTTTGAAATGGAGGACCACTGGTATCCAAAAATCGTAAGGGTACCAAAAAGAAATGTATCTGTAAAAATTCATATATGATTTTACTTATATATTTATAATTGAACACTATTTTGCATAAATGCTTGATGTTAAATATATCTTGGAATAACTTATTGACAACTAAACTAGACATACACACCCTACAGAGGCCCGCCCAGGCCACAACAGGTAATTCACAAAGCTAGTTATATAATCGTAACGAAACATAGTCACCGTCGGCCACCAATGTGCGAATAACGAAGCAGGTGTTGGAGAGCATCCTCCACAATCCAACCTATTTCACTCAAATTAACTACGACAAGCCCCCAGAACACTGCCAGTACTTGAAAGTAAGCCGACCGCCAATTATCATATTTTATCATTTCAATCTCTCCAGATTTCCGAACCGACCGATCTGACCCTCTTTCCCGGAGGAAAGAACTACCAGACGAAGATTAGCAATGAGCTCAAGCAGATCTACTCTTACACGCCTGGCTCTTATGAGAAATACCAGGACATGATCAAGGCGAAGAAAGTGTTGAAAATGGCACCTCCACCTCCACAGAACAACCAGCCTTCGCCGAAGCCTAGAACACCGCCACCACCGCCGAATCAATCTGTTCCAGCGCCTCAACAGGTTCGACCGCCACAGCCATCCCCGCAGCCTAAGCCCCATGTTCAGGTACATGTCTCTCAAAAATTTCCTTTAACCTAACAAAAAATAGATCAATGGTCAATTGCACCAAGTCTTCCATCTGTACGACAAGAACACCGGCCGAACAATCCAAGCTATCAAAGGAGCAAATGGTTCATTCACAGCAATTGGTCAGAGCAGTGGACAAATTTTCCACGTTGCCAACGGTCAATCTTCCGGATCCACGATCATGGCCGGAAACGCCGGTCAACAACAGCAGCAGCAAGGTGGCCAGCCAAAGCCCCAACAAGTCTTTCAACCACAGCAGCAGAACTCCAACAATCAACAGTTCCAAAAAAACTCGATGAACCCGCCAATGTCACAGCCAATTATGATTCAGCAGCCTCAAGGTCGATTGCAAATTTTGCTAAATTGACGGCAGCCCTCGCTTTTTCAATAAATTAAATTTGCAATTCGCTAAAGCACAACAGATTCACATACAACAGCCGCACCAACAAGTTCAACTTCAACAGGGTCCACCTCAGCAAGCGGGATCAACGATGGTGATCAACACTAGCAGCAGCAATGGGGGTAGCAGTGACAACGGGAACAACGCCTACATTACTTCCGAAGTGAATCTGGGCAACGAGGCTAGAAACTCGCTTGAAATGCAAAAGAATGTGATAAAAACGCAAATACACCAGACCCGTCGTCAGATGGTTCAGAGGTACGTCCGTTTAATTTGTGACGTTGGAATAATATACAAGTGGCTCATCTGTATTAAAAAGCTTCAATTTCCCTTGAATAATCCTCGTCAATCACCACTGTCTAATCTGCCTCACGTCGCCAAAGAAAATTGCTGAAATAAACTCGCATTTCAGTTTCATGCCCCGTCCCGCCTATCAGTCACAACCCATCGCTGCTAACTCGCCCCAACCTGTCCAGGCAGAATGATATAAATTTTCTCCATTGGCGAAAAATACCGCAAATTTATGTAAATAGAAACAAATCGTGTATATATGTAATACTACGTCGTCAATTTACGCAAATAGAAAAAAAACCTACAATTACTGTAACTATCAACATCTTCGAAGAAAACCACTTGTGCCTTTTTGAAAATTCAGCGAAATCACCCTCGAAGGAACATGATGTCCACAAGACTTTTAAAACGCACAAATATTATAAATTATAGTTTATTTTGAAAAAGAGATAAATTTATATCATGTGAAAAGGTGGTAATGAATACCAACTATCAGCCAGTAAAAACTCGCCCGCCCACTCTCCAGCGAAAAATTGCTCCCACACCGCCGCCGTCCCTCACCGGTCAGAAGTTCTGCGTCTGCAAGGCCACTTTCGACCAAGAAACGCAATACGGCGACATCCAGTGCGAACTCTGCCAACAGGTAGCCATTCCTTCTCCATTTCCTCCTCGAATCATTCCGCTAGCCATTCCATGCCACCTGCGTCGGCGCGGTTCTTACAGAACTGTTCACCTGTAGTCCCTGCCACCAGAAACACAACTCCGCGCGCTCAACTTGCATCTGCCACAGCTACGATGGAAAGAACGGCCTCGTCACGACCAGTGGCCCTCGAGAGCTCAACTGGTGCTCTTGTGATGTCTGCCAAACATGGTTCCATGAAAACTGCGTTTCAAAAGAGGTATCTTTTTTCCTTCAAAAATTGTTTTTAACGAATTTTCAGGATACCTTCATGAGAATGCAGAACAACGAAATCAGTTACATGTGTTCGAAATGCTCCAACGCGGATCTCGAAATTGTCAACGGCCAAATGACGATTTCGAAGCTCCAACTCACCGAGCAGATTTACTCCAAGTTCAAAAACTCTCGTCACTCCTGGCCTCTCAAACGCAAAGATCTCGTCGGTCGAACTGAAAATAGTGAGTGATCTCAATCTTTCTATTCCTCAACCGCCATTCTTAGATTTGGGTTCGATCGAGTCCAAGCTGAAGCAAAAACTGTACAAAACATTTAAACAATTCATGGACGACGTTTATTTCACGATAAACGTCTTCCGGGAGTACTATGCCGAAAATAGTAATCCAGAGGCCACTTATTCAAGCAACAAGAAAGAGGTAAACCCAGCGTTTTTTATTCAAGGATGATTAACTGTATCGGTAGATTAAATGCTGCGAAATCATGGAGTACGACTTCTCTAATTTGATTCGAGAGTTCATCGCAAAAGAACGCAACAAAGCCGCCTTCGTCATCTTGCCCGACCGCCACGCCAAAATCGAGGAGAACGAGCGCGCCATCAACGCTGGAGTGAGCAGTGCCACCGCCGCCTCTAGCATATTTCCTTAATACTTCTTAAATAAACCAAGTTCCACTTATCTCACATCATCTTGCGCGTGTCGATTTTTTATCAACGGATAAATTTGCGTTTTACTGCCATCTTGCCCGTTTGCAGATGCAATCTGAATATGCGACGACGGCAAAAATCATCGTTTACGTTCATTCGCGAATTTTTAAATTCAGAGATTGATGTCGGCCCTTGAGGTAATTTTGCGACTGAGACCGAGTAAGAGTGAGGCTGTGGGACTTTATAAAAAAGACTCGAGAACTGTGGTACTGAAAAATAAAAGCGGCAATCAGGAAGAGTACAAGTTCGAGCGAGTGTACGACGGCTGCGATAACCAGGTTTATATTCAACTAATCGTAATTAAATAAACATTGATTGTCCTTCTTAGGAACTCATCTACGCCGAAAATGTCGCTCACTTGATTAACAGGGTGCTTGACGGCGTAAATGTGTCGGTCCTCGCTTACGGACCGACTGGAACTGGGAAAACGTACACGATTGAGGGCGAGAATTCTACCGGGAATGCTGGGATCATCCCAAGGTACAAAAATACTTTTCTTTATTTCTTATTCTACCTTTTTTTCAGAGCAGCGCTGGAGCTCTGCAAGAAAATCCGCCAAAGAGCGAGTGATGAGACGCAGCTCTTGAGCATTTCGTGCATGGAAGTGTACAATGAGAAGATCATCGACTTGTTAAATGAAGATGCGAAGCCTGATTTAAGACTTTTCGAGGATCCTGACAAGCTCATGGAAGTCGAAGGCTTGACCAAATTGCCACTTAAAAGTTTCCAGGACTTTAAAGATGTCTTCACGCTTGCGAAGAAAAGACGCACCGTCGGGGCGGTAAGTTTTAGGTTTATTTTGAATATTGAGCTCATTTACTAAATAGACGGCATTGAACGAGAAGTCCAGTCGTTCGCATGCAGTTTGGAGGTTCCGAGTCAACCGAAAAATCGGAACAGGCCCAGATGCGATCGATAGAGAAGCAAAGATCGACTTTGTCGATTTAGCCGGCTCAGAGGACAACAGAAGAACTCAATCGACGAATACGTCAGTAGCGTTCAAAGAATCTACGAAGATCAACTTGTCACTGACTGTTCTCAAGCGAGTAATCAAAGCTGTGGCCGCAAAGAGTAAAAACGTTCCAATCAGAGATTCAAAACTAACGAGATTGCTCAAAGATGCCTTTGGAGGAAACGCTCATGTAAGTCCTACCGTCCTCTCTTCCATAACTTTGACTTTTCAGAGCGTGCTGATTCTTAATGTCGGACCGGAAGAGGAAAACCTGCGAGACTCTGCTGCTTCTCTTGATTTCTCAACAGTAGCGAAGCAGATCGTCAGCACGCCCTTCGAAGGACTCTCAGCAATGGTCACGCCGAAGAAATCTTCTAGAATGCCGCTTGAAGAAAACAAAACGCCGACATCGCCATTTGCCGGACGAACGCGACAAATGAATGACTCTATCGAGCGTATCCGCAAACAAGTTCTGGTCATGAAAGAGGAAAACAGGCAAAAAGCTGCAGAGCAACGAAATCTTCTAAAAGAGATGAAAGCTGCTGAGAAAGAGAACGATGCCAAACTGGCTCGAGCTGCTCAAGAGGTAAATTTTAAAATCCGCCTTCTTAATTGTTTACTTCTTCAGCAATCGCCTGCTGAGCCTGCTCCTAAGGTCGTAAAGCAAACTCCCAAGTTCCAAGAACTCATTGACTATCTGAACGCAGGCGACAACCTGGTGCTCCTCGAAGGCGTCGGGCCCAAGATAGCACAGAAGATTCGCGAGTGCCGACCCATCAAAGACTACAAACACTTTGAAGAAATCTTCGGAAAGACTCGAGCAAAGAAGGCAGCAATCTGCTTCAAGCCGCAAATTTGATAGAATTCCGAACTGCCATGTACTCACTCACTCACTTTTCACATTCCGCCGTCTCACAGTAACACATCTCACTCGTAAATAAACAGTGTCTTCGAATAGAGCCTCACAATCGAAAAGAAATGCCAACATGTTTTCTTTTTTACTTGTCTTTTAGAATTTATTATCGATATATACAAGCAGGCTTGTCGATGTTGCATTAATTTACAGGCAGTGTTAGTTTATATGCGTGATTATACACTTTGTTTTGGGCGGTGTTTTGGAGTCGTCCGTGTCTGATCTGACGTCGTCGTTCGATCCCATCAGCGCTAGAATCTCTTTAGCGCAATATGCTACTTGTTGAAACAAACCGTGTTTTTGGCGGTACTCTTCTATGATCGCACGAGCAGTGGCAATCTCTTTTTCCTTCTTCCGCTTTCGCAGAGTTTTTCCCCAAGATTTTTCCTTGGACCAATTAAAAATTAATTTTGGCGAGTCTGTTACCTTGATGACTTCATAAACGTAATCGAAAAGCTCAAGAATGGTCAAGATCGACGCACCAATGAAGAGGCCCATTTGACCGCCGATATCACCGAGTAAGCCAGGAACTTCGTAAGCTTTCTTTTGTTCTACAGTTTCGTAGTTGAGAGCTTCAAAGTAGACGTTCAACTTAGCAAAGTTTCGTTTAACATAAGGAGGAGTTTTGTTGTATTTCCAGCTCATGTAGTCAATCGCTTGTTCCGATGGCAGTAGAAGTGACGATTGCTCTTTCGAGTATCTATAAAGATATTCACATCTAATCTGAAACTAGGGCTTACCTGACAACATCACAAGGAGTGTCACAAACACAAGCAACATTATCTTCTGCCACCAAGAAATTGAGCTGGCTATCTTATCATCGGGTCAAAAACACTCCTCATAAATTATGAGTCATAATCCAATTTCAACAAAATTTCATGAACCCGTTCCCGCGCATTGGTACTGTTTTGGCAAGCAGTATGGAATGTCTTTTCCCTCTTCAAGGTTGGGCATGTGAATCATCCGACACTTGCACTCCTTCACAATCGTTCTCGTTTCGCAGGTAATTCGACAGGCAGATATCGAGTACTTAAATGACTTAAATGATAAGATTACGCTGAGTATCAAACTGAACTCATTTCCGGGCGCTAATTATCCATCCTCCAACAAATTGTGCCTTTCCTTTCACCTTTAAGCTTTTTGATCAGCAATCGCCCGTCACAATTAAAAACTTTAACCCGGTCACGCCCGCTTGGCCACTTCCGTCCTCGATCTGACAAACTGATCTGATCCTGATCCGCCTGGGAAATGGAGACGTTTTGGGGTAAACTATTTCGCATGGGCCATTGAATTTTCGAAAATTGTATACAACAGATTGGGCACTTCAGCGTATAGGCTGAGAAATCTCAGCATAGATACAGCAGCATACTTGGTGCATGAAATCCTGGTAAATACTCGGCGCTTTCCCCAGGTCAGTGATCAAATAAGACAAATTAGCCCTCCTCGATCCCTATTACGAGGAAAATTTCAAGTACTTTTTTTAATCGAGCTCAGGATTTCACGCTCTCGCTAATCATCCCTTGCAAGACCGACCGGCTCTCCCCGATCAAAGAGCTATTTCCGCGGTACAAGTATGTCAAGGTGTCTGCCTCCAAAAGAGCCCTTTTCCAAGGAAGATTTTATGGGATTTTCATTTATAAATCAGGTCACTTTCTGAAGAAATTAGGGACAGGCGGAAGTGGCTTTGAGAATTGACTGATTTCCCGCGCTTCCGGCTTGAGGGATGAAAGCGCTCTTGATCGATAGTTCTCCTTGTGAGCCGTAATGAAAATAATTTTCGCACTTTTTGAAACAATTCTTTTGGCATTGGATCAATCAGCACACATTAAAAGTCATTTCCTAAGTAATAAGACAGCTATACACACAAATTTCACCCCTGAAGGATTGACATCCAAGTGACGTGGATTTTTGAAGTGTGGGTTTGTTTAGTTGCGCGATATAGAAAGAAATACAACTTGAAAAATATTCTCATGGAGAGCTGAAAAATTCACATGTCCGTGCTGTCCAGCCCGTGGCATCGGCGCAAATTTGGCCACCTGCGCCGCTTACTATAACTCGGCTCTTCTTCGGAAAATGGATAATAACTTTGAATCTTTCAGATCACCTGGAGTATAAGCCATAATTTGATAACCCTTCTTATCATGCTTCCCCCTACCTTGTCGTAGTTTGCATGCTGGGTTTTATTCGAGCCGTCGTTGCAAAGACCCCATGGCGGCGGCAAGAAGTACACGCGCTGCTCCCTGGTCTAAATAGACAAACGAGATCATGGAAAACTGATATACTCACTTTACCGATACCAGAGTCTGCCGCCCGGGACTAATGCCAAAGCCAAGCTCATGGATGAACGGCGGCTCATCCTGAGAGTGGATCTGGACTTTGAGTCCCGCTTCGTAAGTGATCTCGTCTAAATTAGTCCGTCAGAATTTTCAACGATGGAAAATTCGACCCGATTTTCAAATTTTGAAAATTTGAAAGAGTTATTGAACTGTGCTTGTTTTGAATTTATACAGGAAGTCCAGTATAAATCCAAGTTAATATTAGACTGCCCGTTTTTGTGCGAAAATTGGTGCGTGTTTTTTCAAATTCTCAAAATTTGAAATAATCACGTGAATTCCATTTAATCCATGTGATATTCTCGGGTGCTCTCACGCTCAAAGATCAACAGCTCTGTGCTTGTGGATTAATCGAGCTGTGATTTTAAGCGGAGATTTAAGCTCGACAAACCTGACTCCTTCCACATCGGCATGTATTCGTCCTGCTGGACATCGAGCAAGAGTTCAAGGCCATTGTCGACGCCACCCTAAAACACTTTATTTCCGCTTTTATTACGGTATTTGCTCGTTACCTTGAGCGTCTTCCTTATTTCGCTTTCATTGTCCGGGTGGTTGAAGGAATAGCACTTCCCGTAGCGGGTAAAAACCGTCTTGAAATCTTTGAAGCCGCATTTTTCGCCTCGGTAAAAGCAGTCCAGTAGTAGCTCTTCTAGTTGAATTCCCGTTCGGTTGTAAAACTAGAATCTTCATGAAAATCGATGAGAAAAGGAAGATTCACCTCGAATAAGCTAAAATCAGCAGTTGGTTTAAAAGCGCCAGAAAAGTCGGAAAGTTCTGCGAGTCGGTCGTAAACAGCTTGGTATTGCTCGGGGTTCTCAATGTCCTCTTTTGGAATGGCGGCGGGGTGAAGTTTACGTTGCTCGTTCAGGAAGCCGAGAAATTCACCGGCATGATACATGTCATTTCTGAAGAGAGCGAAGTTGGATTGCTTTCTTTGCTGCAAACTGGATTGTTAATTTTAAGGGCGTATACCTTGTTATTTGGCTGAAGCGAAACTCATTCAAATTGCAAATGGTGACGACAGGGAAGCGAAGGTTGATGGCCGAAATCTCATCCAACTTGGTCACGTGAGGCCGCTCCAGGTAGTAATTTACACGATTAGACGACTGAAAAAAGAGACAATCGTTACCAAGTCCATTAGTTTCGATCATACTATGTCTTGAAGCAACTCACCTGTAAAATCAATAAGGTCAGCGAGGCGAGAAATGCCAAACTCCAAGCAAAACGACGGATTAATGAATGATGTCGAGCTAAAATAAAATAATTAAAAGATGGCAAATTTCTCGATTTCGCTCTATTACCGAAGATGTGGTAAAATCCGTGCATAGTAACATTGGAAGCAAACACGTGAATCGAGGCAGGGCGAAAGGAGTCCAGCGAGGACCTAGTAACAGTTAGTGCAAATTAAAAGAAAAATTCCACAGATTTGTTGGTTCATCGGATTAATGATAACCAGCACCGCCGGAAGTGCTTTTCTGCCTATCAAATAAACAAAACAAGGAATTATCCGAATGCCCCTAAGAACCGTAGTTATGTCCGAATTACATCGTTGCTGTAGTTTTTCGACCATTTCTAAGGACACAAGATTTGTCCGAATTTCGTCGATTGAGGCTTTCGTGAATGTAAATTTCCGCTTCATCGAGCTCGTCTTCCCGAAAGGAGACCTTTTTCTTGTCCGACATTTTTAGTTTCTTTCAAATTGCGGTTTTCTCTATCTTTTAAAAATCATATCCTCGTCAAGAGGTCAAATTGCGAAAAAAAGCGATGCAAATTAAATTTCGACATTTGTAACCATTTGGACGCGGCTGGAAGCCTGCTTCTTTCTCTAATTTAATTCTCTAAGAAGGCTTGATCTAGTGGTGGTCGACTTGATATGTTCCATCGTTAATCAACCCTGGATATGCAAACTTATCGACACATGACCGCAAGGATCACATTTATCATTTCGCTTGATTAATGCATCATTGAATAGAAAGGTCTAATCATCAACAAGTCTGTTTTTTCCGAACCCGAAAAAACTTACTCTGAAAGCGCAAAATCATCAGATTTCTTGTCCGCATCATCTTCGTCCAAGAGCTTGTGGTCGGAAGTTGAGTTGAGCAAATCTGAAAGAAATGGTTAAAATTTTCATCAAGAAAATCCAAGGCTGTACTTTTCCTACTTGTCGCCGCTGATCCATGGTCAAAAACGATAAAAAGAAAAATAAAATTTGAAACTTATTCGACCCTTTTTTCAAAATCCGTGAATTGCTTGTACGCCTTGTTTGCTAAGAAAAAGGGTTTGTCCCCAGAGGGACTCGGCATGGCCTCTTCCACCTTGATTCTCGACTAAATTATTTAATCAAATGGCTGCTGATTGATGTGTCAAATTATATTCCAAGAAAAAGACTGCACTTTTCTCTCTAAGTGGAAATTTTTATCATAAAGACTCTCCTGCAAAAGCTGCTCGTTGGCTAGCGTCGCGAAAAGGGATGAAATGGCCGAAGTTTGACGTTCTCGCACACTACTCCTAAGTAAATATGGTTTCGAGCAATAAATAATAAATTTGGTATAAACGCATTAATTGTCAGTTCTATTTTGCCTCAGGTGCTCTGCAGCATTCTGCCCGCGGCAAGTGAGCCTCATTCTCTACTAGCTCCGTCGTTCAAATGACTGTAAATGAAACTGTATCACTTTCAAATCCGCGAACGATCGGCTGCAGGAAAAAGTAATTTCATGGTAATTTTCGCGATTAGCGGATAATTATCACCGTTTTGGATGCTCAGGTGCGCGACACTACCTGTAGCCAGATGCAAGGTTTTAGCGGTTTTATGGGAACCTTGAGCTTGTTCTACTAATTTTGGCAAAACGCGAAATGCGGTAGAAAAGAATTCCTAAAGAACCAAATTGCAGAAAATAAGCAAAAAAAAAAACATTATGACTATAAAGCTTGGCTCGGCAACCTGTGTAGAGTCCTGAGTCCTGAGTCAGGGTCTGACAGATCTCTAAGGAAAAGCCGAGTCGAAAAAGTATTGGACGGATATTTTCGCGAAGCCGCTTCGCGGCTTTGTTTTTGAAAAAGCCGCTACGCGGCTTTTAATTAATCATCTTTCGGACGCTGACTCAGGTTTTCTACACAGGTTAAGGTTAGAGTTAGGGTTAGTTCAGCTGTAAAGACAGTCTGTCAGTCTTACTTCGAGTAATAACTGCAGTTTTCTGATTTCTCTGAATCTCAAATTTTGTCATCTGCAATTTTGTTACTAAGTGTTTACAGTTTTAATTTGATAAACCCGGCTAAAGATTTCGCCCTCTTTTCAAGCGAGAATGTCAGATTTGAGAGGATTTTTTTAAATAATCGTCTAAATTGCTCCTCCCGAAATCATATTTCATACTTTTCTTGAAAGATTTTTACGCGTCCTCATTAAAAGAGGGGAGGTACTCATTTTAATTTCTTTCTCTGAAATTTTTTTGAAAACTTTTTTTCTATAACTTGTGTTCGATAAAAGGTTCTATGTAAAATCCTTTTATCTGTCTTTTTTTTTTGTAATTTAGTCTTATGAATACTTTAAAGCGGTACCCTTTGAAGCCGTAATATTGAATTAATTTTTAAGCAACTGTTTTATGCACTTACACTTTGCAATCCGCTCTGTGCGATTTTTAGACATCCCTCTCTTTTCTTATTTTTTGGCGAAAAAAGGTGTTTAGTGGAATTGTTTTTGGATCAATTCTGGAGTTGATCGACTCAATTTGAACATGTTGATGGCGTTTTAATTCCGTCAGCTCCAGGCTTTATCAATAAAAAATGGATCGTGCATATTTCTGATGGGTGGAAGCACCAAATGGAGCAAAAAATGAGACACACGTGACAGACGATTGAGATCGCCATATTCTCAAATTAACGAGTGTTTAAAGGGCCTCAAAGTTAGCGGATCTATTATTTACAAGCACCTAGAAACATGAAAGAGCTCGCCAATATGGCAATTATATTTGGTCTAAATTTTAGTTCTGAGACATTAGGTACTAAGAACATAGAGTCTTATAAACTGGGCTGGGCAACCTGTGTAGAAAACCTGAGTCAGGGTCTGAAAGAATTGAAATGAAAAGCCGCGCAGGTTCGCCAAAATTTTGGATTGATTGTAATGGGTATATTAGCGAAGCCGTTTTGCGGCTTCGTTTTTAAAAAGCCGCTACGCGGCTTTTCATTTCAACCTTTTGAGACCCTGACTCAGGTTTTCTACATAGGTTGGCCAGCCCAGCTTATAAAGTTCGAATGTTTGCTATTAAAAATAAATCATAGTTTGTTAAAAAAATTCATTTGATAAGATCCAGTTTCGGCTACTTCCATTTAGCTTCCATTTAGCTTGTCTGAAGATTGCTTCCGATCTTTTGATCCTCCAAATTTTAATGGGAAATGGGCACCTTAAAAACTGGCAAAATACAAAATCACTTCCGTTAGAAATCAAATCGCTAAAAGTGGAATCGTTTTACTGCTCCTGTCCGAGCGGCCATAAATGACATGCGTCCACGACATCATCAAAGCCCCCCTTTTTCGCCTCAGAAGTCAAAAGAATGTCCCAAAAATCAAACAGGCGTCTAGTACCTCTTGTGATATTTTTCCATCTGTTGTGGACAATCGTCTCTCTCCGGTAGTTTCTCGTCGAAAACCTACACTTGGTTAAAGGCCTCCGCTGCATTTATCCTCGATGAAAATGAAAATTGAATTTTAATTTTGCCTAAATGAAGTGGACCTGAGGTTAACTTGTTTGCTGGCCATTTTCAAGTGAGTGCGGTGAGATGCAAATAACCGACACTTTCCATGACGGAACCCTTTTTAGATCGAAAATAATCACATCAAATATGCATGTTCTGCTGATCTTCGAATACGGGCACAAATAGTAAATGCGCATAACATTCAGTTTTTCAAATATTTATGTCAAAAAAGTAGATACTCGTCATTTTGATGGGCAGTGGGTCAAAGTTATTGCCATCAGAATAAAGGTTTTCCGAGCAGGGCTCGGCAACCTGTGTAGAAAACCTGAGTCAGGATTTTTAAAAAGAAAAATAATTTTATTCAATTATAATTTGATTTATGGCGAAGCCGCTTTGCGGCTTCGTTTTGAAAAAGCCGCTACGCGGCTTTTCGTTTTAGATCTTTCAGACCCTGACTCAGGTTTTCTACACAGGTTGCCGTGTGCAAACCTATGTAAAAAACCTGAGTCAGGATCTGTTTTTTAACGAAAATTAACTATTTCTATCTGATTTTGATTTATGGCGAAGCCGCTTTGCGGCTTCGTTTTTGAAAAAGCCGCTATGCGGCTTTTCATTTTAGTTACTTCAAACCCTGATTCAGGTTTTCTACTCAGGTTGGCGGGGCCAGATTCCGAGTAAATACAGTAATCTCATCAAAAATAGCCAAATTTCGGTAAAAAATAATTCTAAATCAGTCACTTTTCGATTACCATTGATAATTTACGGAGGTAAAAAACGAAGTGGAGCAAGAAGAATTCAAATAAAAAATCGATGCGTAAATATTTATGCGATTGGAAAATGTGGCGAAAGGAATAGTACGCCAGGCAGGTCCACTGATTCGCGACTGATTGAGCTGTCGCCCGAGTCAATTTGAAATCCAAAATCTGCTGTTTAATTTGGACAACGGAACATGTTCACACTCTGATATTGTCGCTTGATGTACTTACTCTGGCTGTTACTGTGGTCCAGAAACTTCATGAATCGGCCTAGAGCGGCACATGTTGGGCCCAGGTCATTCTCGAGTTAGGGTTCTTTTTATGAAGAAAATTCATTAAAATCATAAAAAATAGCTCGATTTTAGATCCTCAAGAGCCCTCCCGAAGCGACTGTATGCCGTCTGGTCATTCTCTTATTCTGCAGCAGCGAGCACCGTCTCTAAAAACGTCCCTTTCTGACAAATTCTCAAAGGGGCCGTACTTTCACTTTGCAAGGAACCGATTTATTTCGACGCGTTGTACCAGTCGCCAGTCTCTCATAATCGCTCATTTTAAAATTTATATGAAAAGAACAAAAAATACGTCAACAAAACTGTTCTTTAGATGTGAGTCTTTCCCTCTACCAGATGCATGATTTTAAAAACACGATTTTCGAAAACGTAACCGCAAAGTCTCTCATTATTAATTGCAAATTCTTACCATCGATGGCAGGAGCATGGATCCTCAGCCGCGTGATTGACTTCTTCCGTGCGACTGTTGATGGCTTTTTATCGAAAATTGGGTAGACGAGTGCATCAAATGTCAAATCAAACGAAAACCTTTTAGCGCGAACCTTTCGTTTTGATATATTTTTAAGGGATCCCCCATGGATCAGAGTTGGTAATTTTGCTATATTTTTGCTGAGCGGACCTGAGTAAAAATTTCTCTGAGCTGAGCTGAGCTGAGCTGGTTGAGATGAGCTGAGCTGTTTTTACTGTGTTTTTAGTAGTAAATTGTGCTAAAATCATTGAGCTGAGCTGAGCTGAGCTGAGTGAAAATTGCGACCGCTCAGCTCACTCAGCTCAGGAAATTTGCAACTCGATATGTTCATATAAATCCAGCCTCGAAATGAACTCGAACTCTGGAATTCATACGGTTCTTGATTGATGTTTTCGTCGCCCCAATTAGCGCTATAATTTTCTATTGATGCTCAGCAGCATCAAAAGAGAGAGGTCTCTCTATAGAACAATTTCAACTTTGAAACTTTGAAGCCATAATTTTTCTCATGAATAGTGGGAATAGTCTTCTGTTCTTTCTCTCTCTGTTGCGTTTGAGTTCTGATAATTTGGGAAGCGAGGAAATGAGGAAAAGAAGATGGTAATGAGATTAGCTCAATGTCATTCCTTATAACAATCGTTCTATATTTTCCCGCCAGGGCAGGAAAAATATTTCTTTCTGTGATGCATTATTTACAGGCAAACCAGCGCCCCTGTCAAAGTAACTTACTCAAATGTACGCCTTTTTCGGACACTCTTCGCTCCATCTGTAAGGCCTTTTGGAAACGCAGTCGACCAAATATTCCGTATTTTCGCTCAACAAGACAATATGTAGAAGACATTTCTTCATAATTAGTAAGCATGACTTCCCTAGCGAATTATTACGAAAAGGGGTTTAAAGAGGGATAATAATTTATAACTCCGAAATTAAAATTTTCCAGTTTCCCCAAAATTCCAGGTGCAGCCAAAATTTCTCAGAGTGATTGATACTCTGACTGTCAGATAGCGAGGGCAGATTTCACGGTCACGCTCGTCAACCTTGCCGAAATGGCCTAGATGGGCCTCGGCTCCCTACTTCCTCCAAAAAAATTCTCGCGAAGCGGGGGGCTCTGGCAGCGCCCCCTAAAAAAGAGTGGCGCTCGTCGCACTTTTTTGTCGCGCTCGCAGAAGGAGTAAGACCTCCTCAAGCTTCTCGACAGCCAAATATTCAATTATACATTCCAAAATCCAAAACCGGAAGTTACCCTTCAAAAAGCCTGAAAGAAGATAGAGAGATACAGTATCAGAAAGAGAGAGAGAGACAAGAAAACATAACTACGAAGAAGTTTTTTTAGCGAAAAGGTGAGAGCCATTAATTTCTAATTGAGTTTTTCTTCTGCCAGAAATGTTGGCACTGAAATTTGCGCGCACGTAGTAATCATTAATTTTTTACGATTTTTGGATTAGCGCGAATTATTGCCAGATGATCAGCATCTTTTTATTTATCATGGAAAGTTGGAGACGTTTTTATTTCGTAGAGAATCATCCATCTCGAGTTTTTCAGGTATAAAAATAGAATCTTCGCAAAGAACCATAATCTACTGAAAATTTTCTTTAGTTTATAAATTACTCTTTTGTTTCGACTTGGTACTAAAATCCAACACATAATACGTATGTTCCATGACAAGTAACTGTATCTCTCTACTGGGCATAAAGGAAATATAAGATTTTTAATTTCAAACAGTCGATAAAAATTTAGGCACTGATCCTTTTCAATTTTTTTTTTTGATATCCGTGGATTTGCGATCAATAAACACAGAAAGAGCTGATCCAGCATGTAGCGATAAGATGATTACTTATGAGTTTATCGACATGCATGACGCGCGATAGACGATCAGAGGCCGGATAGGTGGGATCAGTCGATCGCCACTACCGTCAACGAACGCGGCGTAAATCCAGTGGGATTAATGATGCGGAACGTGCCCTGCGGGGAGTGAGTTCCCGGAGGAAGTGCTCAAACCTCGCGCCGAGACTTTGACCTTTTGAGTCTCGCCAGTTTACTGCCTTCTTTATATTTGATCAAAATTTTTATGTACACTCCCAGAGCACCTTTTTTTGATTTACTTAGCACCCCCTGAGGGGAGTGCGCGTCCCTGGGTGCCCGATTAGGAACTATTTTTGACGCAGCTGGATAGCAAGTGCTATAGTTGCCATTTCCGGCGACAAGGGAAAGAAGACTGTTAAAGTGTCACTCGCGACATCCGCTCTGAGGGTAAAGGTGGATTGAATAAGGGTGTACCTGGCAGAGAGAACGCTTCCTTGGCGTCCAAAGTTGTAAATCAATCCGGAGATTCTAAATCCCCACAATAAGTCCATTCAACATTTGACATCCTTGGGTCAGTTTTTTTGAGGGGGCCATTGTGTTTCCCGCCGTGGGTCTATAAAAGTGTGTCCCTGATTGTAATTGATCAATCATTTTTTCAGCTTTACAGAGTTATGCGATCATCGATTTACGAGGATATTGATTAATTGGTAATATTCTCCGTGGATAGCTAGGCCACCTATCCTTTCTTTGACTGGTGGTCCTCTTTTACGTCAGATGATCATCATCTCGTCTGAAATGATCTATCGTCTCTCTATCCAGGCGGATATCCCCCGCTTTTTCCCATAAATGACTGATCGCCAGTGCTTAGATTTGTAGATTTACGAGTTCTGCCGTCTTCAATAATCAGTTTTTTAGAAACTTCCGAACGATGAAATAGCGACCGAGAGTTTCCGATTTATACTACTGCCAAACACGAAAACAACGAAAACGAAATGAAAATTCAAGCCTTTATCTTGCCCTTTACCGCCTTTGCTTGGCAAATTGGAGATCAGGAAAAGGTTCACCTTGAGCTACGGGTAGCTAATGATGGATTAGTTATCTGTCGATTGGATTAGCATTAGCCAGCATAAATATAACTGGAAAGGAATGATGCAACGTCCGCACCGCTGATCACCCCCTTGAGCCCGTCAAAGTCTTTCTTATCATATGTTGATCCCCATATGGCCCCGTGATTGAGCGCCCTAAGTCCATATGTGGCAACTATACAGTTAAAAAGATCCCAAGGACCCTTAGCGGGGATAATTGTGGATTGACATGGCTATTCAGAATTAGCCAATAAGATCCGCTTATGTTCAAAATTTACCAATCAGACTCATTTCAGACAGAGCATTTGAGTTTTAGCTGAGCAACGGGCTGACCTATATTTTCTGACCACTTTTTCGTGCCTAATACAATAGAACTCGCACCTGGCTGCGCATCCAGGTGCTGGTATTTATGCATGAGGACATGTTGTATACTACTCCAGTTTTCGCCGCCTTTTGCGAGGTTTTGGCGCAAAATAGCGGACTTACTATATTTGTGGATAAATAGCTACTTAGCCCGAGCACTCACAATAACATAAACACTTTATTACGCCCCTAAATACCCTTGAAAGGTTGAGTAGAACCTCTGTCCAGTTCGGATCGCCATACGACGGCGACATCGATCTCGGCCGCCCGCCCAAATGCGAAGAAATCAAGGTCCCAATGTGCCAGGGAATTGGATATAATTACACCTCAATGGAAATCTCCCCGTTTCATCTTCAAACTCAAATGGTGAGCAAACATATTAAAACTTAAAAATGGCTTTATGGCAGTTTCGCGCGGAGTTGAATACAAAACACTTTATACATTCCAAAGAGCTTGAGAATGAATCTTCCTCCATTCGAAAATGATCTGTTTATTTCAGGAAGTCATCGCAGAAGCGCATCAATTCTACGTCCTCGTCCAAAAAGGCTGCTCCGCCGATCTCCGACCATTCCTCTGCGGCCTGTACACTCCAGTCTGCATGCCGGACTACCACAAGTTCCTCCCGCCCTGTCGATTTCTGTGCGAACGCGCTCGCGCTGGCTGCGAGCCCATAATGAATGAGCACGGATTTGAGGTGAGAATCCTTTTCATACAGCGATTATTCCTCACTACTGATTTCTCAAATCAATGGATCTTGTTCTAATACTGTATTTTCTCCCTTCAGTGGCCGGAAAAGATGAACTGCGAGCTTCTCCCTGAAGATCAGTTGTGCAACGATTTCGGAAGGAAGCAAGAAAGAGTCGAGCTCCCAGATCTCATCCCTTCTTCAAACACCCGGCATTCTTCTTGCCGAAACTGCCAATGCTCGCGCCACCTGATCGACCTGACCAAATCCTCATCCCCAAGCTTCGAGGCTGATCTACGCGCCGTAAGTATTTTTTATTTGAATCTTTATGATTTCGCGTCGGATAATAATTGAGCGAAAATTACTCAATTTCCTCGTCGCTCACTATTCGGGACAGTTTTAGGGGGTTACTGATCCACTTCCGGAATCAGCATTGACGGCCTGGGAAAGTGTTTCTTTCGCCAAAAATCGAAAAGCAAACATTTTGATAAACCATAAAATTTAGCCCTTCTTCCCAGCGGGAGTTCGCCAAATAGGGCCATTTAGGCTAATCCAGATCATTATTTACTAATTTCATACAGGGGTACTCCAGCTTCATTAGCGACCTCAGATGGAAAAAGGGATTCTTAGATAGCTCAGAGTTGCAAATTTGCTGAGCTGAGTGAGCTGAGCAGTCGCTCAGCTCAGTCATTTTCGAAAATGATCCGATCTTCTCAGCTCAGCTCAATGATTTTAATACAATTTTACTATTAAAAATACAGTAAAAACAGCTCAGTTCAGCTCAGCCAGCTCAGCTCAGCTCTAATAAGGGTCTGCTCAGCTCAGCTCAGCTCAATGACCTCTGAAAATGGGCAGCTCAGCTCAGCTCAACCTAGTGAGCTCCGAAATAGGCCAGCTCAGCTCAGAGAATTTTTCACGCAGGTCAGCTCAGCTAAGTGAAAATAAAGCAAAATTTGCAATTCTTATATAGCTCGAGAATATGCCGGTTACTTCAAAGAATATGCATGAAATACTGGGGTTTCTTTCGAAATAGCCAAGATAGCCAGATAATCTACCTGTAGGAGACAAAGCTTATCAGTATTTCAGTCAGTAGGGCCGCCGCGAATAAGCAGTTTAAAAACATAAAAGCATCGATACGGCGTTTGGTGCCGAATGTATCTGTTCCGGGGTAAAATGTTTGCTTGGGCATTCACGTCAAAGTTCTGCAAAAACGACTTTGAAAGGGGAGTATTCACAAACTGCCACCTTCTTGTGAATTTGTTTAGCGCGCTCGCCAAAATCTTTACGTTATCGTTTTCTTTTGTTTTCAAAATTAACATAAGTTTACCTTCCAACTGTCGCTCTTTTGAGTTCCGAGAGCGGAAGAACCCAAAATTTTTGGAGTTTTCTTTTGTTGGGAAAAAGGAGGGACGAGACGGAGTAAAATCCCCTTTAGAAAAAAGGAAGTTTACGGGACACTTGTAGGGCCCTCTTTCCAACGGATGCCCATGAATAGTCCTCGGACGTGGGATAATCCAATTATCGCCACAAGTGGCAAAGTTATGAAGTCGACTTGAGTCGAGGGAAATCCCTAAAAGATAGTTCCGCTAAAAGAGAGATCTCGAACGCGGAGTACAATGGGGATTAGGCAAACTTCAGCCTGATTCGGGATCATTAAAATCGACAAAGAAATAATTTTTGTATCCTTGCCAAACCGAGTCCCCGTTTCCGAGTCTGAATTTTCAAGCTTGAAGATCAAAACTTCACAATTTCTTTCGGAACTTTGAATATTTCAACCCACAGCAAAAGCCTTAAATAAAATTGAAATTGATCCAGTAACCACTTTAGACCACAATTTCTCCTCAATTATACCCCCTTTGTTCCCCTCCCGATAATCCGGAACCCCACATTTCCGCTTAAAAATATTCCTAATGCTCCGCATCAAGGACCTTTTCCCGCTAAGGCCGAATTTAAAGGTGTCGGATGTAGCGATTTTTTGGTCAATTTGCGACCTTCATGACCTTGGGAACCTAATTCATGCGTCAAACGGTCAAAGTGTTGTCTTTAGGCTTAACTTTTTTAATTCAACGACCTTTTGACTTGACACAACAATGACCCTGGGAATCGATGAAGAAATCGAATGGCTTTTTTGAAAATAAAAATTAAATAATTGAAGTTGCATTTCAAAATGTAGAAACACCTTTCTTTCAATTGTGTTTTCTCAAGCTGACTTTATTTTCCAAAAAATGGAAGTGCATTTCTTCAGTAAATGTTTGATTTCGATTTACAAGAACTTCCCTATCAAGGACAAAGAAAACACGGGTCAGGGGAGCAATTTTCGCGAATCCACAAATCGCTGACTTGAACAAGGAAAGTTTGTGCCCGTCTCCAAAGCCAATATCATACAGTCGCTATTGCCAGATTATTGTCAAAACTGTCTGTCAATCATTCCAGACGACCTTCGACCATTTCAACTTTTGAGCAACTTTGGAGCAATTATCAAAGCTCTAGAAAGAAGGGTAAAAAAGAGGAAGTCGGTAATAGGATTAGCTTGCTTGTTTCATGTTTCTGTCACGTTTGGATAAGTTGAACATGTGCTTTTTGTGACTTTTAGCCAGAAAACGCGATTAGGGCCCTAACAAGCTGTGTCTGCCGATAATTTGTTCGGCGAAGGGTGAAATGTATCGGACGTACTTGCGGCCGATTACCATATGTTTTCTCCTGCTTTTTGCATAATTAGTAGCTTCAAATTAGTAGTAAACTATTGAATAGCGCATGAATGGCTGGATTATTTTCACCTTGACCATCAATACAGTAAAAACAAAACTTTTGACAAGGACATCTTTGTTTGCTTGGCAGAGAGCGAGATCACTTCCACGCTCCTAAAAGACGATTAATTGCCCGAGCGCTGATTAATAACCTTTTGCTTTAGTGGTCGACTGGTGGAGTCAGTGGCTGCGCACGAACCTGCCGCTCTCCCTTTCTTTCCTACGACAAGAGGAGATTCCTCGATTCGTGGGTTCTTTCTGGAGCAGTTATCGTCGCCCTTGCAACGATCGTCGTCCTTGGCACTTTCTGCCTCGACCCCCAACGCTTCTCGTATCCGGAAAGGCCGATCTTGTACTTGAGCTTGTGCTACCTTTTCATCGCCGCTGGGTGAGTACATTTGCAGTCCTTAGATCCTCTCTTCTTACTTGAACTTTTAGATACATTTTGCGATATTCGATCGGAGGAGATGTTGTCGCCTGCGACGCTGTTCATCCTGAACGTCTTGCATTACCCGGACGAGGAACTGCTTATTGCAATCTTGTTTTTGTTTTGATTTACTACTTTGGCATGGCTTCCTCTATCTGGTGAGTTTATTTCTTCAACCTGCAGCTTTTTTAATTTCCAATTGAAGGTGGGTGATGCTCACTTTCGCCTGGTTCCTTGCCGCCGGCATGAAATGGTCTTGCGAAGCAATCAGCAACTACAGCTCCTACATGCATGTGCTCGCCTGGACCATTCCCGCTCTTCAGACGGTTCTCATCATGGTGACCAACCAAGTCGACGGAGATCCCTTCCTCGGCATCTGCTCGGTTGGGAACAACAACATCGAGCAAATGCACACTTTCATCCTGGCCCCGTTAGGTATGCGATAGACATTTTTGAATAGGTTGTAACGGCCATGTTTTCAGTTGTATACTTATCTGCCGGGGGCCTCTTTTTGATCGTCGGTTTCTTCTCTTTGTTCCGAATCAGGAATACCATGAAAAAGAAGCACGATAGGGAGACCAAGAAGCTTGAGAAACTCATCGTCAAGGTAAGAATTCACAAAATACAGCAAAATATTGCTTTTCGCAGAATCACGAAAAAAACATGGTTTTCAATTTCGTTTCAGATCGCGATTTTCTCCGTTCTTTACATGATTCCCGCTTCGATCCAAGTCTTCTGCTATTTCTACGAGTCGGAGTTCCGAGACGCCTGGGAAAAAGATCTCAACTGTCAAGGCTGCGGTTCTCGATTCGACGAAAACAGCTACTTGATCATCTTCCTCAAGCCAGCGATGAGCTTTCTCGTCGGCATCGCCGCCGCCACTTGGATTTGCTGCGACAAAACACTGCGAACATGGAGGAGAATGTGCTGCCGCCAGTCGCCAGCGGCTCTTTCCACGACGACGACGAGCACTTTGTCGGATTCAAGCTACAGCCAGCCGCTGAATCGACACTACGAATTCGAATACACTGACTATTACGCACCAGCGACCTCTGCTAGACAGCCCTTTCTAAGCTAAGCCCAGTTTAACTCTTATATAAATATCTACCTCAGCGCTACTGTACTTCTTGTAAATATCTGTCAATAAATGAACAGAAAAATCAATCTTCCAAAAAGTATATTTTTCAAAATAAAAGTCCGCCCGCGAGGGAAATCGGTACCGACTTTTTCTTGATGCACTGGAGTTAAGGAATTTTCAGATGACGAGTTTGTTTTTTAATGTTACCTTTGAGGCACCTAACATATTTTGCATCTTTTGTCTTTATTTTATTTTGCTCGTTTTTCTTGGTAAGAGACTTTGTGAAGCTGAATGAAGAGTTTTCGTCGCCAAAAGGAGACATTCTCAAAGAAATCTGGCAAGATCACTTGGACCAAACTCTCGACGCTGATACTACTCTCGTGCTTGATGAAATTATTCTAGCGATAAAAGTAAGCCTCCCAGAGCCGCAATGTCCGGAGTGTCCAGTTTGCGAAAGATGTGCAATTTGTGCGGCTTGTGCGGCTTGTGAGGTTTGTGATGTTTGCGAACCGTGTGAGAAGAAAAAGTGTCCAAAGCAAAAAGAATGTCCTGTTGTCGAATGTGAAGCTGATGAAAAAGCTTCTAGTGAAATATCAGTTGTGGCGCAAGAAAGTTGTTCTGACGAGAAAGAAGAGATCACTGCGGGAGATTTAGCCCGGCAACTGCTCGTTACGGACTGGGAAGAAGCTGTTATTCCGGATGATGCGAAGAATGTGACTTTTGAAGATCTCCCGGTAATCAACAACTTTGGAAAATTCCAGCGCGATCGAAAAAACTACGACACAAGCCGGAGAGGGTACACTCCACGAAGACTCGTCTGCGATGAGCTTTCTGAGCACTTGGAAAGTACCCAAAGCAGTCACTGGACAACCGAGTGCACAGGCGTACCGAAATTTCCGGAAAATGTCATCAGCTACATCAATTACGGCATCCCGAAATCTATCATCGAGAAAATCGAAAAAACTGGAATGAACAAAACTTCGATCAAAAAATTATCAACGCCTTACGTTTTTCTTGGAGTCGATCTTTTTGACTTTGAGGAAAGCGATGCAAACTTCATCAGAATGGTCAGAGAAGCAGAAGCTCAAAATGCCGATATAATTTCTGGAGCCGTTGTTGACGAGCACGGTCACTGGTCGAGTCATTGCGGACATGTTCATGTGAGCAACTACACTTTGGACATCTGGGACGGGTACTACAAGTCCATCAAAAGTACCATGCACTGCGACGTCGGAAACGGCCCGCTTGTTGTCCGAAAAGAGCTGCTCCAAGAGCTCGGCGCCGAGAAAATCGGTCGGTTGGCGAAATGGCCAGATCGGCTAGAAATTCTTCTGAAGCTTCGGGACAGAGTTCGATTCATTCATTGCCCCGACTGTATGTTTTATCAAAATGAAAACAAATTGGAAAAAAGTGATCTTATGCGGCTGTCAAGGAAATTCAAGCTGACGAATTTTAATTTTGATAGCAACGAGGAGAACTTTGAAATGACCTGTAACGAAGCCGGTATTCAATGTGGCGAGAATTTATATAACGAGAAAGCTCTTGCACAGGACTGGTTCTTACTCCTTTTTGATCTTCTATAGTTTTCAGAAACTAGAACCGTTAAAAGCCGCCATGCTGTTTGAAAGTCTTGACGGGAATGAACCTCGCCATCGCTCACGAATATAAAACAAATAGGCTAGACACGTGTGTATACTGCGGACAAGTTCTAGCAAGTGTCAAGATGCCAGGTGGACAGCTTCCTTGGGACAAGAACGTTGATATGCCTCATGACAACAGGATGTATGCAGAAGCGAAGAAACTGATCGCTCCGATTTTGGATGAAAAATACGGCTTGCATTATGTCGAAGAGGAATCGGAAGACGAACAGAAACGTGTCACGATAACGGTGTTCAAAATCTTGATGACTTTATTTTCATGCTTTTTCTAGCATAAAAAGACTGGCTACACTGCGGAAAATTATGGAAAGCACATCGAAACGTATCAGTGCGGCGGGCAAGTTCTAAAAGGTCGCGCTGAAACGAAAGTTAAATTGAACGGTTGGTGGTTTCCCGCTCCCGACAACCCCGGAGCCTATGCCAGAGAATATGGAGATGAAATTCTTCAACACGTTACGCACTTTGAGGGAGCTGCTTATGCGGACCTCGAGGCCAAATTTCCAAGGTACTGTTTCACGCAACTTCCAATTCCATATTTTCAAGGTGCACGGGAACACCTTCTCACGCCTGTTTGGAGCAGTTTCATAATGATGGAAACATTCAATTTCGAAAAGACAAGTTGAAATTGTTTACTTATGTTTAAGTTCATATTCGATTATTAATCGGAAAACTTTCATAAAATAAAAATATTTCACAATTTTTTACTTGCAGTTTGTTGTTAAGTGACGGAGACGAGAGTCGGCTTTTTGCAGCTTGAAAACAAGCCCAGTCCGACATAAATCGAAAATATCCTAATAAGGTAAAGCTCCGGCAAACCTTCGTCGCTTTTACCGACCAGTTAACAGCATTTGCTATAATCTGCATTAGGTCCGGTACTGAATTTGCCCGCGGGGCATCTCTGTACCGATTTTAGAGGTCTCAAATTGTAGAGCACTGACTTCAGTCCTTCTCAAATTGTTCCGCTGATGTTTTTCCGATGATGCAGATTCGAGGTTTTATTGCTGTCGCCTCGCTGCTCTTCGTTTTCATTGCATCCTTTTTTCTTCTCAGAGATTTTGTAATTTTGAACGAAGAATTCTCGTCGTCAAGAGCAGAGATTCTAAAGGAAAGAGTTTGTGAAACTCATGTTGAACGAAAACATCGAAAGATCGAAAGTTAAGTCCCAAAAAAATATGCTAAGAAGTCAATATGTAATCTGTTTTACTTTTAACGGGTACGTTTATTTACTATAAATATCGAAATGATCCGCCTCAAGAGGGTTTATTAATCCCGAATTAGTTAATTATAATTCATTCCCAAACTTACCGAAAGGAAATATGGAATAATCACTTGGACGAGAAGCTTGATGCAGATACAACCCTAGTTCTTGAAGAAATATTGGTGGCAATCAAAGAAAGTACTCAAGTCCCAGCCCCTCATTGCCCAAAATGCCCAGAATGTGAGTCCTGTTCGCCATGCGAAAAACCGGAGCCCTGCCCGAAGCCTAAGCCCTGTCCGGAATGTCAAATTTGCGAAAAATGCGATCAAGAATCTTTCATTCAAAACAACAAATCGCTCGTCGAAGAAACTGCCGAAGATATTGCAATTAGACTTCTTAAAACAAACTGGGAAGATGCATCGAATGTACCAGACGATGCAAAACACGTCGATTTCGTCGATATTCCAGTGATCAACAACTTCGGCAGCTTCCAGCGGGATGCAGAAGATTACAATATTTCGCGGACTGGCTACGAGCCTAGACGGCTAGTTTGCGATGAGCTTTCCGAGCACCTTCCAAAAGTTCAAACGCGTCATTGGATTGACGACTGCGACGACGTTCCCAAATATCCAGATGATGTGCTCAGCTTTATTAACTTAGGCTTGGAAAAATCAGTTTCGGATAAACTTGAAGATGCGGGACTGAAGATACCGGGGAAAGATATTTCTACTCCATATGTTCTACTGGCCATTGATCTATTTGATTTCGACGCTGAAGACACCAATCTAATGCGAATGGTCAGAGAAGCAGAAGCTCAAAACGCAGATATCATCTCTGGCTCGTCTGTTGATGAGAATGGTCACTGGGTGAGCAACTGTGGCCATATCCACGTGAGCAACTACACTCTTGATATCTGGGACGGATATTACAAGTCAATAAGGAGCATTATGCATTGCGATGTCGGTTCTGGCCCTATCGTTGTTAGAAAAGAGCTTCTGGAAGAAATAAGCGAAGAAGAAATTAACCGACTCGCAAAATGGCCTGACCGCTTAGAAGTTCTTCTGAAGCTCAACGATAGAGTTCGGTTCGTGCATTGCCCAGACTGCATGTTCTACCAGAAGGAAAGCAAAGTGGAGCGGAATAATTTCATACGACTTTCGAGAATGTTCAAACTTACGAATTTCAATATCGATAGCAACAAGGACAATTATGAATTTACGTGCAACGAAGCGAAAATTCAATGCAGTAAGTCGGGATATGAAAATCAAGCGCTTGCACAGGCATGGTTCCTTCGATTCGGGCAGACAAGTAGTAGAATTTATAAGGAACCATAAAACAGCCACCCTGTTGCTTGACCGCTTTGACCGGAATGATGATGGCAGTCGCCGAAGAATTCGAAAAGCAGAAGCTCGATCTTTGCCTCTATTGCGGTCAAATTCTGGCAAGTATAAAAATGCCAGGAGGGCAGCTGCCGTGGGATACCGACGTAGATATGCCGCACGACGCGTTAATTCACGAAGAAGTAAAGAAGTTAGTCGTTCCAGCTTTGGAGGAAAAGTACGGACTGGAAGTTACCACGGGCCCGAAGAACGGCGATGGAAATGAAGGATTTGTTTTGATAAGAGTAAGACGGCCATTTAAAAATATTTTTTTATTTTGTGATAAAGCACAAAGCGACTGGCTTCACTACAGACAACTATGCAAAATTTGTGGAAACCACACACTGCGGTCATCAAGTCCTAAAAGGAAGGGCTCAAACAAAAGTGAAAATTGACGGTTGGTGGGTTCCTGGGCCGGATAATCCTGGCCAGTATGGAAGAATTTACGGAGACGAAGTTTTAAAGCACGTGCCTCACGTGGTCTCTTCAAAAACTGCTTATGGAACTTCTCGGCCAAAATTTCCCAAGTAAACTTTTCCCCTTTTTCTGAAATTAATTGAATTTAAGATGCTCTGGTCAACCTTCACATGCTTGTTTGGACCAATTTCCGACGGATGGAAACATTCAATTCCGAGGCGACAAAGCAAAACTTTTTACTGTTTTCTAATTATTAGTTTATTTTTCACCAATTTCTTCATTATTATTCCTCATTTTTACACAAAGTATTTAATTAAAGAAACTCATCACCAAAGTTTGAGCTCTCGAATTCTTCATTTGTGATCAACGGTATTAGTACGTGGTCGTTCGTCGGGGTCGCCCCGACAGATGAAAGGTGAAACAACAGTTTTCAGAAGAGAGCCGGTTTTTTGCAGCTTGAAAACAAGGGCCGTCCGACGAAAGTCAAAAATGACCAAATAAGGAAGAGTTCCGGCAAAAAAAAAACATCGTATTAACCGGCCACTTCGCAGGAGTCATTATAATCTGAATTAGGTCCGGTACTGCATTCGGCCGCCTTGCATTTCTGGACCGAATTCAGAGGTTTGAAATTGTAGAGCACTGACTTCAGTTCTTCTCAAATTGTTCCACTGATGTTTTTCAGATGTTGCAGATTCGAGGGTTTATTGCTGTCTCCTCCCTGGCCTTCCTTTTCTTTGCTTCATTTTTTCTTGTCAGAGATTATGTCATCTTAAACGAAGAGTTCCCGTCCTCAAGAGCAGAGATTTTAAAGGAAAAAGTTTGTGAGATTTACTTTTAACCACGACTCTCGTTCGAAATTTAGGCTTGGGCTAGGTTTAGGGTTAGGGTTAGGGGAAACACATAAATTATAAGTTATTTTTTAAGGATTAAATTCAAAAACTTATCAAAAGGAAATATGGAATGATCATTTGGACGAGAAGCTTGATGCAGACACAACTCTAGTTCTTGAAGAAATATTTGTGACAATCAAAGAAAGTGTTCAAGTCCCAGCCCCTCATTGTCCAAAATGTGAATCCTGTTCGCCATGTGAAAAGCCGGAACCCTGCCCAAAGCATAAGCCCTGCCCAGAGCCTAAGACCTGCCCGGAATGTCAGGTCTGCGAAAAATGCAATCAAGAATCTCTGATAGAAAACAACCAAAAAATTGCCGAAGAAACTCGCGAAGATATTGCAATAAGACTTCTGAAAACAAACTGGGAAGATGCATCGGATGTACCTGCAGATGCAAAAGACGTCGATTTCGTAGATATTCCAGTGATCAATAACTTTGGTAGCTTTCAGCGAGATGCAGAAGATTATAATATTTCGCGGGCGGGGTACGAGCCTAGACGGCTAGTTTGTGATGAGCTTTCGGAGCACCTTCCAAAAGTTCAAACGCGTCATTGGATTGACGACTGCGACGACGTCCCCAAATATCCAGATGATGTGCTCAGTTTTATTAACTTAGGCGTGGAAAAATCAGTCATCGATAAGATTGAAGATGCTGGACTAAAATCAACTGACAAGAATATTTCAACCCCATATGTTCTACTTGCATTTGATCTGTACGATTTCGACGCTGAAGACGCAAATCTGATGCGAATGGTCAGAGAAGCAGAAGCTCAAAACGCAGATATCATCTCTGGCTCGTCCGTTGATGAAAATGGTCACTGGTTGAGCAACTGTGGCCATATCCACGTGAGCAACTACACTCTTGACATTTGGGATGGATACTACAAGTCGATTAGGAGTATTATGCACTGTGATGTTGGCTCTGGCCCTGTTGTTGTTCGAAAAGAACTCTTGGAGGAAATAACTGAAGACGAAACAGAAAGGCTCGCAAAATGGCCCGATCGCCTGGAAGTCCTTCTGAAACTCAACGACAGAGTTCGATTCGTACACTGCCCAGACTGCATGTTCTACCAAAAAGAAAGCAAAGTGGATCGCAAAAACTTTATACGACTTTCGAGAATGTTCAAACTAACAAACTTCAATATCGATAGCAACAAGGACAATTATGAATTTACCTGCAACGAAGCCAATATTCAATGCAGCACGTCTGCTTATCAGAATAAAGCGCTTGCGCAGGCATGGTTCTTTAGAAACAGATATTTTGAAAGGAAATTAGAATTGATAAAGAACCTTAAAACAGCCACCTTGTTGCTTGACATCTTTGACTGGAATGGTGATGGCAGTTGCCGAAGAATTCGAAAAGCACAAGCTTGATCTTTGCCTCTACTGCGGCCAAGCTCTTGCTAGTATGAAAATGCCAGGTGGCCAGCTTCCCTGGGATACTGATGTGGAATCCACATTGTGGATATGCCGTTTGACGCGTTAATTCACGAGAAGGTGAAGAAGTTAGTCGTTCCTGCTTTGAAGGAAAAGTATGGAATGGAAGTCAGCACGGGCCCTAAAACTGGCGAAGGGAATGAAGGATATGTTTTGATACAAGTAAGACTTGCCTGAAATATTTTATAGTTTGTGATTCAGCATAAAGCGGCCCACTTCAGCACTGATCACTATGCGAAATTTATCAATACCACACTCTGCGGACATCAAGTCCTAAAAGGAAGAGCTCAAACAAAGGTGAAAATTGACGGTTGGTGGGTTCCTGGACCGGATAATCCTGGCCAGTACGGAAGAAAATACGGGGACGAAGTGCTAAAGCACGTGCCTCACGTGGACTCTTTAAAAACTACTTATGGAACGTCCCGGTCAAAATTTCCCAAGTAAGATTTACCACTTTTTATTCCGAAATTTATTCAATTTTAGATGCTCTGGTCAACCTTCTCATGCTTGTTTGGACCAATTTCCGACGGATGGCAACATTCAATTCCGAGGAGACAAGGCAAAATTTTTCACTGTTTTCTAATTATTTATTTATTCTTCACCAATTTCTTCATTATTCTTTCTCATTTATACACAAAGTATTTGATTAAAGAAAAATATCACCAAGGCAAGTTTGAGCTCTCAAATTCTTCATAAGCCATCAGCGCGCAAAACAAGTATCCGCAAAACATGCCGAAGTTTTGAATAGCAAATGCCTCTAAAATACCCGCTCAGTATGCGTCTTTGTGAAGTTACAAACTTCCTGGTGAGCATTCAGCCGCAATAAGAAGGGCTTCAGACTGTTCTAACTGAGGCATGGTGATTCCAAAGGCGCAGTATAGAAGGAACCCAGCTGCCAATGTAAAAAGCCACTCGGAAGTGTACGAATTCTCGACGACTGTTTGGGGCTTCTTTTCAATTAAGAGAAATTCATATCTTAGTTGACTGAAGCCATTCCTATTCCAAGCGCGCAACCTCCATAAATTGACAAACTAGAGACAGCATTCCAGACGACTGCGTGAAAAGAGTTCAGTCCATGTTCCTTAAATAAGGAAAATTCGTCGGTGAACTAGAATCGGCGTACCTGATAGTGAATGTAGTCTGAGAGCTTTTGAGTTATTTCGTGAAAGAAAAGCGTAACGACTACGCAAATTCCTTCGGCGACTGAAAAGTTCATCGTGGAAGTCATCGTCAATCCAAGAATAAACATTCCAATCAAATTTGAAGAAGCCATTAAAAGACCCATTGGCTTGATGTCGAACAGTCCCTCGAGTTTTGCTTCCTTCTTTGATGGATATCCGATTCTTCCACTTCGAACCATGTCTTTTCAAAATAGAATATTGCTAGAAGAAATTTCGTTTACCTGATAGTTGAGTAATTCCAGTCGTTGCTGAGGTCATTGATATTCCAGTTTGACCGGTGACATTTGTTAGGAAAGTTGTTCTACCAGTAAATCGTTTGCTCATTCTAGCAGACTGGTAATACAGATGGCCTCCTGATTGAGTCAGTCTTGATCCTTCAATTTGACTTTCGAGCTGTTTCATATCTAAAACTGTTTAAAACAAGCTGTTTTTTATGTTTTACCATCTTTGGCCATCATGGAATTTCGAAGCTGAGATTTTCGTTGTTGATTTTCATCGATATCCAGCTCATGAGTATTGAGAACCTTTCTCGCAAAGAAAAAGTTTCCGAGACGATCGAAGATGAAGAAAAACCAAACGCAGCCGCTCATTATTGTCCCGACGTGTCGCAATGTTATGTGTTCCGCAACTAAATACTCCCTAAAGAAATAATGAGTGTTTACGCATCGGGTGAGGTTTACCTGTTTTCAAGGCAAGAAGGAAGAATTAGGTAGAAGACAGTTCCAGACGTCAGAGCTAGTGAAAACGCAAGAACAAAGGAGGTAATCTTTAAGGAGTCATTTCAAAGACCACAAATATTCTTATACTCGTTTCTCTACTGACGTTCCTGAAGATATATTCCTCTTTGAACGAGAGATATCCAACCCAAACATAAAATCGCGGTGCTCCAAATAATCGTCGTACAGCCGAAAGAAAGATTTATTGATTTCTGGCATCGGACACCTCTTTGAAATTTTAACAATAGATGAAATGTAGGTAATTACTCGTTGATTGTAAAGTCAGGCGGTGAGGAACAATTATGAAAATTATCATTATCCGAATTCGGCCACATTGTTTTCTCTCTATCGCATCTGAATTAAGCGTCATAGATCTAACATGCAACGGTTGGAATTTGCTCACTCATAAATTTTAACCTGCGATGCCAAGTGAATTTTGCAGTAAAACGTCAATCGAAAATAGTTGTTGTTCGAGCATTTTATTTATGGCTTTGTGATGAGAAGAAAACATAAGAAGATATTTTGAAGAACGGAAAAAGAAGGAAGAATAATAAGGTCAACAGTTGACTTTGAAAAGCGGGGAGATTGTCGAGCGATTACTGGGTAGATTCGTCGATGAGTTCTCGGGTGCCATCAGCGTTGACTCTCCAGGTTCGGAAGACGGTCTGCACTTCGGGCTCGGGTTGAACAACGACGACTTCTGGCTCAGGCTGGACATAGACGACCTCGGGCTCGCACTTTGTTTTGCCTTGGTTCATCATCATGAAGAAGAGGAGGGTCTCGTTGTCGCCGCTGTCGTCCATAAGAAGAAGAGGGAGCATCATGTCGGTGCCGAAAGCAGAGTTGGGGGCTTGAGATTGCATAGCCATCATGAGAACGAGCATGTCGGTGGAGCTGCTGTCGGAAGAGCTGTCGTCGTCCATGAGGAGAAGAGGGAGCATCATGTTGAAGTTGTTGTCGAATCCTTGCTGGGAGTTGAGGCCGCCGGTCATCGAGTTGAGGAGGACCATAAGCAAGATGCTGTCGCTGGAGTCACTGGAGTCGTCGTCGAGGAGGAAGAGGAGGGGCATGATGTTGTCCATTCCGACGGGAGAGTCACCCATGGTCTGCATCATCATCATGAGCATCAAATCGGAGGAAGTGCTGTTGTCGTCGCCCATGAGAAGCATTGGAAGCATCATGTTGAACTGGTCGTCGGTGGAAGTAGCGCAATCGGTCTGGAGCATGGAGGAGAAGAGGAAGAAGCTGGTGAAGTCGATGCCGTCGTCAGAAGAGTCATCGTCGGAGAGGAGAAGAAGAGGAAGGATCGAGTTCATGTCCGAGGTGCTGCCGCCTTGCATCATCATCATCATGAGAGCGAGAGAGTTGTCGGTCGAGTTGTCGTCTGAGTCCATGAGAAGAAGGGGAAGCATCATGTTCATTTGAGAAGTCTGGCCAGGAGCGACTTGCTGCTGTTGCTGCATCATCATCATGAGAAGCATCTCGTCGAGGGCACAGCTGAGGGTGAAGAAGAGGCTGAGGACCTTCATTTTTGTTGGTTCGTTAGTTTGTCTCTTTGCTTTTTCTTTTGTTGTGTTGAGAAGAGAAGCTGATTATTTGATGCTCTGAGGATCGTCGACACCAGATTTATACGACGTTGGCCATCTTGCGACCGTCCGGTTGGTTTACTTTACGCTCTGATTGAGCAGCGGTCGTTAACGGTAGATCGCATCGCGCATGATCGAACCACATGGCACATGAACTTTTCAACTACTGACGAATGAAAAATACAATGTTCTATGATTTTTTTTCTTTTGGAAATCTTCATGATACAACTAAGAATTAAGACGAATTCTACTAGCATAAATAAGATGAGTCCTTGTTGATTTCAATATTTTTCTTTCCTTTATAGAGCTTGCCCGATATAGACTTTTCAATAAGAAGACACTAAAATCGATTGTTAAAATCAACCAGAGGTCATTTGAAATTTCTTATTTCCCAATTTTTCTTCCTGGGCAACAAAATGGATCGAGGTCAACAACAGGTCTGGATGCATTTAGCGACATCCGCAGTTCCGGATGTCGTGTTAGCTGTCACATCCGAAGCCCTAAAAAAATTCGCCAAAAAATTCGGGCGGGCGGGGAAATGGCATCTCGGCATCCTGAGTAGGCATTCTAGTGGTAGCTGGCGGAGTCAGGCATACGGGCCGGAACTCAGGCACTTGATCCGATTAATGCATGTTGCAGTTATCGGCAGGCTTCCGGGAGCTAAACCGCCAAAACAAAATCGAGAATATATTTCTCCCCAACGCGTGGCTGAAAATATTTGGTTAAAAGATTACCAACATATTATATGGAGACGAGCCATGACTTCCTCGAAATTAACTGGCGTCAATGCCACGCCAAAAATGCTAATCAATTTGTTTCTTCAAAATTATGGAAATAAAACTGGAAAAAAACTCTTGAATACTTATTTCGCTGAACAAACATATCTTGGAGAAGAGTTTATGAAGAAGTATGTACTTGTCAAATTGATCTAGCCATCTCGAGCTTCATGGGAACGTGGCAAGACAGCTGCATCTTGGACCTAGAGCAACGAGGATAATTAGAGCCAAAATGAATGTATATTTAACACTTAAACACGCGAGGAAATATTTTGGGACAAACACGAACTACGCTAAGTTGTTGTGTCCCCTGTCAAAATGGAGCAATAAGTTTGCGTCCGGAAGAGGGATCGTGCTCGAGCGGAAGCAGTCGAGGATTTTTGGATTTCGAAGAGGGGCCAAATGTCAGTAATGGTGACAAAACCTTTGACTCCTACCTAAAGAAAGGTTGCTAGCGTTTTGGCAACCAACCATTTTTACTGTTTCCGGGTCTTTAGGATTGAGTTCCCTAATAATCGAATTGCGATGATCATTATTTTCTATTCTGGAAAAGAAAAACAGCTGTTGTTTATCCGGATTTCCTGATTCGGTCGGTCACTTCTGTCCGCTAAGAGTTTAATCCAAGGCCATTATCCGAGTTTAGCAGGTGCACCGGTTCTTCAGAACGCGCTAGAATGAAAAGAATGTGCTCTTTCACTGCCTACTGAGTCCGAAAACAATGTCAGCCAGATCTTCCTTGGCACCATGGACGATTTTTTTTTGTAAATGACCTCATTGTTTTGTCACTCAGTCACGAAGGTTATTTTAGGATCATGTTGTGGTTTTATGTGCGGATTTGGAAAGGATCTTGCACGCTTTTTGTCCCCTAATTACTGCTGTACTTCGTTTTTGGGGGAATCAAGAATCTCTTCTTTGGAAGAGTTATTTTATGAACAATGGATTCTGTCCGCGGTAATTTTGGAAAAATAAGCACCGCCGCCGATTTGAGTCTTGTTTACGGGACGGCGTAAATTGGAAGCGGATCAGAAGTTCTGCTTTATTTGTGCTCTGGCCGACGTGATCTTGATAGGGTCGGCAGGGACCGTAAAGACGGAGGCATTAGCGACGATCCTTCTGGTTTAGTGTCCTCCGTCCGGAAAGATGATCCTCGGCCGGCTGCGGCCTCTGACTTGCCACTAAAACCAACACCACCCGCGTCACATTTGCACCATCCGGAGACAGCCTAGCACAACATTCAGAAATGTCAAATTCACTTCCGAGAAAGTGAATTAGAAGCTCTGATTTCTATCTCAATTTCAGGAGTTTCTAAAATACCCCGAAGTTTGGTTATTGGAAGCAATTCACTAGTAAGATGTAAATTCCTGAAAAAGCCCCAAAACCAAATTCGGCAGATGTTGTTGGGTAGTAATGAGCAGTTTGTCAGATTCGATCGGGGCCAAGCAAAGTGGCCCAAATTACCAATTTGAACGCTGCAACCACCACTCATTACCGGGGCGCATTACCGGTGCTGAAATTTCGAATAATTTCCGCCAATTTGATTCCTATGCCAATTTCTTAAAATTTTAAATTCTTCATTCTTCTTCCTCGTTCTACCGTCATTCAGTGGAAGAAAAGATTCGGCAGGTGCAGGAGAACGGCTCGTCCGGGGTCATGAGCCGGGATTTTGTAATAAAGTAACAGGATTATGCGAAATGCCGCGATCGCATGAGCACTCGAAAGGGTAGGCCGAGGTCGGATTCCCAGCACTTGACGTTTTTCCGCCCATTCTCATCACTATCACACTGTTTTACTCGCTAAGGATTCCTACTGTCGATAGATGTATACTACAGAGTTGGAAATTTTGCATTATTTTTGCTGAGCTGACCTAGGTAAAAATTTCTCTGAGCTAACCTGAGCTGAGCTGGCCTATTTCGGAGGTCACTGAGCTGAGCTGAGCTGGCCTTTTTCAGACGTCATTGAGCGGAGCTGCGCTGAGCAGACTTTTTTGAGGTAGTTGACCTGAGCTGAGCCAAGCGGACCCTAATTAGAGCTGAGCTGAGCTGGTTGAGCTGAGCTGTTTCTTGCTGTATTTTAAGTAGTAAAATTGTGTTAAAATCATTGAGCTAAGCTGAGCTAAGTGATAATTGTCTGAGGTGAGCTCAGCAGAACAGATTATGTTCGAAAATAATTGAGCTGAACTGAGCAGATCATTATCAAAAATCACTGAGCCGAGCTGAGCTGAGCGACTACTCAGCTCACTTAGCTAGCTCAGCTCACTCAGCTCAGCAAATTCGTAACTCTGGTATACAAAAGAATATCAGGGAATAAAATCGCGATAGTGGTAGTAAAGTTGTTTTTATACAAGTATAATCGCCAATTTTAAGATTACGATATTCAACAGGTAGCTCGCAGGTGCTCTCGACCTTGGTCAGTTTGGTCGACATTTCCGGAAGATTATGGTTCCACATGATGGCCAAAGCGATAACTAAAAACCGCTCGTGTCAAAATTGGCCCTTGACACCGGAAATGGGAA